TCACACATATATATTGGCTATTGCTTCCAAAATTGTTATTCTTTCTGCTATGTCCCCCAACTACATCTCAGACATCACTGCTTAATACAAAAATCTTTATACACTTCAAATAATGAAATTCAAGCTCAGCACTCTTCAGTAGCAATTACACCTGCAATAAAGTTGTGCCTGTTCTCAAAAACATCAACATATAACAAGGAATTCAACACACACACCCCAGCCCTCACATGTTGCCTCCGTAATTTTGATTGCTGAAGTGGACTTGAGGGCTGACCCTCAGAGAGTTGATTCTCATTAAAGGCAGTCATGTGCAACTTGGTGATTTTAACTAGGAAGAGCAGCTGTCCATTCTTTCCCTGTGTGAGGCAGTGAACACAAAAGAACTTTATGTTGTGGTGTTTGAAATTTGTTTCTAAACAAAATGTGAATTCATTTCAGGGCTGAGGAACTACAGTAATTTTCTTGGTCCTCAGGACACAGGAAGGGGCAGGCAGGAGGAGGCACCTGGGCCAGGTCAGGCAGCAGGGCTCGTCATCCACGTGTGGGCAGGAGGCAGGCAGGGAGGGGTTCACGCATTTGCCTCTGCCCTAGGCCCCATGCACCTCAACACCAGCTCTGCCCAAGGTCCTCCACTGGTTTCCTCATGTCCACACCTGTGTGACAGAGTTGGGGAGCCTGGCTACTCACCACCACCTCACCCTTCCTCCAAGCAAACAATAAGGTCCCAATTATGCAAACACCCAGGCTGACTCACAAGTTGTTCACGTGCCTGGGTAACTACAAGATGAGAGCCCACCATTTCAACATGAGAAGTTTCAATGCAATAGAAGTGCATCCTAAGTTGTGCTGTTTTTTAATACCTGCAAAGGCCTTTCCCAGTAACCACTGAATTGACACTACCCACACAACTCCCAGAACAGCACAAGAATACCTGCCAGAAGACAAGGCTGAGTCACAAAATTCACAGAAGGATATGTCTATACTATAGTCACAACTGATGTGACTGCAATACTGTGTAAATGTAGTCAGGCAAGCTTTAAATTAGCTATCTTGGGCACTGGTAGTAGTCTAGCCTTTGAGTTCAGGCCAGCCTAACCACTTAAGTATTTACCCAGCTTTTTGGGCATGTTTTCCAGACAGCTACACGGTCCACACTGACACAGCTAGACTCCTACCAGCTCCCCAGCTGACTAGATTTAAACCAGCTCAGGTATGTCCATGACTGCAGTATAAACATACCTAAGCTTTTAACTCATTTAAATTTCTATTTAAATTCATACTGCCTCAACTTCTACATTTCTAACAACTTGGAATTAAAGCATGCATCATCGCCATACCGTGGAGATTAAACATTTGGGGTGCAATAAATTAATAGTATTTTAAGTATGAAATTTATGGTTCTTCCAAGATGTGAACCGTGTTTAACAAAAGTAATGAATATTGCTGGTTATGTGATGACCTCTGCCTCATTCCTTCCAGAAGCAGTTCAGTGAGTGCCAGATGTATGAGGTGACTATCTGACCTGAAACTCTGCAGAACAGAGTAAGTTTATACACAGATATCCAAATACTTCAAACATGTCAAGGCCTTACCCTCTATCTGTAGACTAAGGGAAAAGCCCAATGATTCCAGTGGACATTTTCCCTGCATAAATATGACTGACTGTATGTATAGTACATTCTGTAACACAGAGCAACTTGTAAGGAATGCCAGCTGAACAATGGCATTGCCTGGGTCCAGCAAACTACTTCCACTTCACCCCATAACCTGAATTAAGGACTGAAAAAGTATGCAAAATTCTTAACTACTTCTTTTATTTTTTTAACCGATTTTTGGGAAGCTGATCATGGGTTTTACCTGTAAAAGCCATAAATTTACGTACAATCTCAGTTACATTCATCATAGTGGTAATTTAGCTGAATCAGGGTTCACTTCACCAAATGGCTGGATTTCATCTTTTAACAGACATCTGAACATACCCTTTTATTTAACATTTTAAGACCAATTTGTTCACACCAGAGATCCATACATTCACCTCCACTCACTATACATAAAACCTCTTGTCTGCTTATATAAGAAATTTGGGGATATGGATCTTCAAGGCCCCATCATATCAAATGCTCCATCTCATGGCAAGGGCTCATGGCATGTGCTACCAACCAAAGGACACTCAAACAGCATTGTTTCTTCTTTCAAGACCAGGGATTTGCATACCACTTCTCTTCCTTCCGTTTTGAGAGAGAAGTCATTCAGCATGTCAACCTTTGAAAAACTGTGGGGATGATGGGCAGAGCAGAGATGGAGGAGGTGTTGTGCTGTAAGATGTTAAGGGCTGCCATCAACCAGTCCTTTGATCTAGAAACACTTCCAGACCTGCTTAAAACTGCTGGGTCTGCTAACCAGATGGCAAGGACTCTCTCTGCTCCCAGCTCCCTCTGGTTTTTCAATTCCCATTAAAATCAATGAGATTCTGCTCCCTTCAGAATTTGAACTTCCCATCAAGTTTTGGAATTGTTAAATTATGAAAAACCAAACTCAAGAAGGTAACAAAATGCTGACAGGTGTATAGTATTGCTTGACATTGCAAAAGCATCATTCACAATTCCTCCTTATCCTCTCTACCACTTCACAAGAAGACCCTAAAATTACACTGGATTAAAACAGGTTCATCTGAAGCCAGAACAGGAAGAAAAGCCAGTGATTTCACCAGGAGCAGCATGCTGGGTACTACTAAATGTTTTGGCATTTCTCATGATTTGACATCAAAACAGCTCTGCCTCTGACCTAAGGGTTCTAGTTAGCTGTTTAGTTTCTGCTAGTCCCAGAATCAAAGAATGCAAACCTGGGACATAACTACTTTATCTTGAGCACGTTCGTGCAAGAAAACTACAGCAGCTCCTTTTCACAGCCCTAATGAAATGTTTTGTGCCTATGTGTATAACACAGTAATTCTGTTTATTTTATAGGCTTATAATAAAAAAATGACACTTGATGAGCTACATGATAGTATTTCAACAATACCTTGTTGTGACATGATACAGTGTAATTACTTAGCAGGAGATACTACAATTTATTGTTATGTCACTGAGTCATACCCTTCAGGGCCTCAGATTGGTGTCTTAATTTGCTTTTTTAAAGCCATACGGACTACCAAGCTAAGTCAAGTGATGTACTAACATATCTCATAAATAAAGACATAGACTGAACATGCACACAGCCGTGTGTTTGAAAACACTTCCCCAACCCTTCCCCCTTCCTTTTTCGTTTTGTTTTTACAGCATTATTGATTGGGTCAATAATAATCAAAGAGAACAGACATTTCAACCCAAACATACAAAACCTACATGTATATTACATTTAGGGTCCTATTCAGGCAGTTAAACACATACACTGGTCCTACAGAGCCCCTATCACTAACTTTACCCATGAAAGCAAGCAGTTAACTGGAGTCCCACAGGCTGATCTCTCCATCTGCAAGTAGCACTGGCTTTTCATCTGTCCACACAGTTTGCATTGGACAGGGCCTTGCCAAGCACAGCATTCGCCTCATGTTTAGGTACCATGCATCAATCAGCACAGGACACGACTTTATACGGCACACTCTAACCAGCGTAAACACACTATAGTGAATTAGTGGCAGCAACTTTCCCTAACCAATGGAATCGAGACAGCCAGCCGAAATACATTTTTTCAAAAAGTATTGCTTCGAATGAAGTCCCTCGGTCTATTCACGGGTATGAGATAAAGGCACTGCACGCCCATCTCACAGACGGTGCAGTGCACCCGGCCGAACGCTGCCCCAGGCAGCAAGAGCACACCGAGCGCCCCGCCGGGCCCCGCGCCCCCCGCGCCGGGAGCGCCCCCGCAGCGCGGCCCCCGGGCAAGGCGGGCAGGGCAGGGCAGGGCGGCACCGCCGCTCCCGCTGCGAGGCAGCGCGGAGAAGGGGCGGGCTGGGTCACGCACACACACCTGCCCGGGCCGGTGCCAGACACACGGCTGGGCAGGCAAGGGCGGCACGGGTGGGGAAGGGAGGGAGGAAGGGAGGGGACCGCCGCCTCAGGCGACGGGGGGCCGAGGCGCGAGGAGCTGGCAGCGCCTCTCCCCGCCACCCGCTTTCCCTCGGGCCGGAGGGGGGAGCGCACCCGGGGAACGACGGACTGAGCGCAGCCGTAAAAATCCACCCCGGCACGGGCCCCAGCAGCCGGCGGTCGTGGCGGGCGAGTCGCCAGGCCAGGGCGGAGCTGGGCCGACACCTCTGCCCCACGCCCGCCGAGCTCCGGCCCTTGCCCGGCCCCGCCACCTCCCCAGCGCGACGGGGCGCGGCGCGGGCAGCCCGCGGCGGCAGGGCCGGGGGAGCCGCCGCCCGGCTCCGCGCCCTTTCCCAGCCCCCGCCGGCAAAGCCAGCTCGGCGGCAGCGGCCCAGCCTGAGCACCTCCCTTCCTTCCCCCCGGGCACTGGGTGTTGCTGTTGTTTTGCTGCTGCTGCCGCCGCAGGTCGGCCAGGGTGGACGCGGAGGGAGGGCAGGAGGGAGGGGTGCGCCGTGCCGCGGGGCCGCTGCCAGGTGCACGCCTCTGCCTGACACACGGGCGGGGAGGAGGAGCTGGACGGGCAGGTTTGTCAGTGGGGCGGCCCCACTCCCCTCCTCTCTCCTCCCTGGGCTGCTGGGGATAATTAGTGTCTGCGAGGCTGTCTGCCCCCGGGAGGCTGGGCGGGCGCGCAGGCAGTGCGTGCCCGGCTGTTTGCGAGCAGTGATTCGCCCCGGCCCCTCGGCGGAGCCTCCACCCTGCGGGCGGAGACCCGCCCGGCCGCGCTCCCCACCGTGACCCTCCCACCGCCACTCACCCCGCCGGCCCGGGGAGCCTGGCAGGGCGAGCGGCGCCGGCGTCATGTGACAGCGGGGCCCGGTGCCAGCAGCCCGAGGGGAAGGCGAGCGAGCGGGCGGGCGGAGGGCGGGAGCGGGGCGGCGGGCGGGCAGCTCCTCCTCGCACACACACCCGGAGCCACCGCCAGGCGCCTCAGCCGCGGGGACGCGGGACACGCCGGCCTCGCGCTTCGGAGCCACCGGAGCGCCCCCAGCCCCCGCCACCTACCGCGGCCCCCAGCGCTGCGGGAGCCGACGGATACCCGGCGCGCCTCGCACCGCCCGCGGAGCGTAAGTGTGAGGGTGGGGGGTATGCGGGGGCCGGGCTTTGCCGGCTGCGGGATGGAGGTGCCGGAGGAGGAAAGTTTCCAGGCGCTGGGAGTGCCATGGAGCCCGAGGCGGCAAGGTGTGGGATGCCGCGGGAGCTGCCGCCGCGCCGGAGGTGGCGGGAACTGTGTCTCCGTCGGGTCGCAGCTCCGGGGAGGGGGGAGCAGGAGTGGCCTGGGGGTTCGCGGGGCTCTCAGCAGTGCTGCTTCCGCGGCCGCTGGGGAACTCCCTGCGCGGTCGGGGGAGCCTGTGCTGGGGACCGCCGTGACCGCCGGGCGGACAGCGCACCTGCGTGGCCGGCGGCGCCGCTCGGGGGGCGCCTCCCCCGGTGCCCTCCCCCGCGGCGGAGGCCGGGGCCCTCCCGCTCGCCTGCCCCGGGCGGGAGGGCCTGCGGGCCGCCCGCCCCTCGGGGCCGCCCTCCTGCCCGCGGGGCCGCAGCCCCGGCATCGCGCCGGAGCGGGACAGGCGGCCTCGGGTATAGACTGAAGAGCCATCGGATCCCGGGCGGGATATAGCGCCCGAGCAAACCCAGGTGGAAAGCTTAGAGGGCTCGCTCGGCTCCGCGGGCGGCGGAGGAGATGCCGGGGCAGGAGCTCGCCTACTGGCCGTGACCCGCCCGCAGCGCGGAGCGGCGCGGCAGCGCCGTGTCCCCCAGGTTAACGCCCGGTGAAGTCGGGGTGAAATCAGCGCCCAAAAATCTGGCCCTGGTGTTGTCACCTCACCTTAGCACCGCTTGGCCGCCGTGCCGGCGAAGGTGTAACGTGGAACAGCACGGCAGAGAAGTGTGGAGTTAGAAGTAACGTCCGTGATCACCTTCCCTTTGCTGGATGCCGACTGGGGTTTTTTTCTCCTCTTCCCCCCTCCCCCACCCTTTTTTTTTTTGTTGTTTGGTTTTAAGGTTTTGCGGGGGGATATTTTTTTTGTTTGTTTTTAGCCGAACTGGGAATAGGAGTTACTTGCTTTGAACCGATGTCAGGTGAGTGCCTGGCACTGCAAGGGGAGCCCTGGAAAAAAAAAGGCTTAGGAACACGAGCCCGCCCTGGGAGATCACAGCACCTCACTGGAGGTTGGGAGAAAGACCTATTTCAGAATAGCTAAAGTGGTCGTTCAAGGGTTATATAAAAATATACATTAAAGTTCTTTTTTGCACTTCCCTTATACTGTACCTGCACTGTTTGCTGTGTTTCATTTGCTTCCTTGACTTTGAAAATTCAGGAAGTGTCACTGTTTGTGGAACTGAACTCGAAAGGTTTTACTGTTGGGAAAAGCTGAATTTGAGTGTCTGATAGGAGAGCTCTGAAGACTTGACTTTATCCATAAATGTACATTACCTGCATTGAAAACAGGATTACATGGCTGCTCACTAGTGACTTTTCCACACAATACTTCTAAGGTACACTGTCTCGATAATCAAATGAGGAGCTGGTTTTTGTGTGAGAGGAATTACATCTGGATTTGATAATCCTGCCTAACCCAAGAAGATACTTATTTCAAACTAACTTTCTTCTTGTATTTTTAAGAATATATTGTCTAGTATCAAAATACAAAAAACCTGAAGCTGACTTGAGTAGCCTTTTTTATTTTTTCACAAGGAGGCTCACAAGCAAATATTTTTCACAATATTTCTTTTTTTTTTTTTTTTCCTGTGCACCCTGTGTTTCAGACCACAAGGCAGACTGGGGGTAAGGGCAAGGGGGGTGGGCAGGAAAGGATATGAAGTGATCTCTCCCTTCCGTGAGAATCCAAGCAGAATTTCCTCCAAGAAGCAGAGCTGCAAGGGAGCCCTTAGATGCTGTGAGGATTTGACCTAGGCAACACCTGCTTAGCCAAAAGCAAAATCTTCAGATAAATAACAATGTAAATGTGAGTGAGTTTAGTTGAGGGCTTAGAGATAAGAGAGATGGGGGTTATTCAACCACCAAATTATTTATATTTCCAGTTATTCAGTGTGAAGAAAGTAAGGAACTGATACTACTGGTGTAAAATCGACACCCACACTTTGCTGTGTAGATGCTGTACTGGCCAGTTGTCACCCTATGTGCATTTATTAAACTCCAGCCTTCAAATCCCACATTGGTGTTACTGTAGTACTCATCCATGTAATTTGCTGCAGCACGTTCTGACATTGGATAATATTAGATGTCCCACCCACGGTATATCAGTAACCAATGCAACGTATGTAAGAGAAGACAGTATTTGACACCATTGCTTTGATGGAAAAGAAGTGATGAAGTTATTCTGCTACATGACATCTAGACAAGATGTGCTGTTCTTCTGTTTCATGTTGTCAGCTTATTTCATTTATTCAGCTGTATATTCTGGTACTTCTAAAATAAATGTATTATATCCATGGAAAATCAGGTTCTGAAATGAAGTCTGAGTGCATTTGGACAGGGATGTGGAAGGCTAAGCATGCGATGGCTTAGAAAAATATTCTTGTGTGCACTGAGTGACATTGGTCCTCAGCTATTGAGCAGTGCTGAGCAAGAGTGAGCCACTGTCCAGGAGCAGCCCCAAGCTTTATAAATCCCTTCTGCAGTGGCCTCAAGCCCTGGTCTGTCTGTGAAGAAGGTGCTCACTGTCAGGCTGGGTGCTGCCTCTTCGATGTTATGAAGCTGTAGCTCTGTTTAGCTCCTGGCATTCTGTAAATACAGTAATAAACCAACTGGTCTAAGGGAAGGTTTCAGCAAATTCTCATGACCTGTGGTGTCTAAAAATCTCCTGTTTCCTCACGTTAAGGGAGTCTGTTTGTAAATAGGGCAGGTCCCCTGCATAAGGACAGTGTTTTTATTCACACCCAGTGAACAAACACCTCCACCCACTGTTGTTGTTTTAAAAGACTCCAGCTGCTCATGAATATAGGGTCAGGGAGGGCCGCCTAAATGTTTCTCTGTGCTTTCTCCCCAGCGCAGCCAGCAGAGCTGTTTCCTGTTCTTTGTTTCAAGGCTGGGGTTTGCGTCACACATTCCAAGTGGCATATGTGGTGCTCTTTCCTGTTTCAGGCTGTTTTCTGGCAGTTTGGTAGCTTCGTCCAGGCCCCTTGTCACTGCCCCTCAACTCCCAATCCCCACCCGATGAGTTATCATGTCTCTACACACTCAGGATTGCTTAAGATGCCTGTGTTATGTCATAACGAGGTTTCCAAGTTAACCTTTAACGCACACCCTCGACTTCAGTATAGTTCTGGGGGTGAACCGGAGAGCTTTGCTCTGTTCGCTGAAAACTTGAACTCAAGTCTCCAGAAAGTTGTGAGCCAGTTTTCTGCTCTCGCTCCCTCATCAGCTGATCTGGAATAGCTCCATTAAAGTCACAGAGTTGCACTGGTCTATAAAGAGTATGAGAAGAAAATCCACATCTGTCGGCTTGTACTTGTAAGAGGGTTTTGGCTTCCGCCCTTACCCAAGCTGAATGGTCCACCATAAGCACTTTGTATTTCCAGATCTCAAGAGGTATTTTCTCCTTACACAAACTAGAAGATTCGTTGTCCTCCAGATGTAATACAGAAAATGGGGCACTGCTGGCTAACTTTTCTTTGGCGTTAATAGGTACTACTGTCCCATGTTTTCCGTTTTTGAAGGCATAAAAATAATTTTTTTACTCCTGTTTTTATATTTATCTTTACCCCTCACCCTGTTACAGGCAGACAGTGAAATACTGAGAGGAAATTGAGAAAAACATAAATCTTTCTGTTGCTTTGGGTCTGACAGAAAAAGAGCTAAAGGACCCAAGCCAAAAGTCTTTGAAATCAAGAGGAAGACCTGCATTACTTTCAGTGTGCTTTGAATCAGTCCCTGGATGAAAATGCAAGATGGAGTGTTTATTCTTCTTTGTCACTTATGGGCTGGAATATGCATGGCTTCTGTACACACAGAAATACTTTAACCTTTTCATTTTACTCCTTTGGTTTTTTATTTCAATAATTTTTAAAGTAATCTTTTAATTCCTGCTCTTGCTCTTCTGGATGCTACAAGGTAGCAGTTTGTGATCATTGCAGATATCTTTTAGGAAGTGTCTGAAATACACACTTTAAACTTGTTTCAGGGCTTAATTGTATGCAAAAAAAAATTTTTATTATATGCATATACTTATATCAAACTGTTTTTTGTCTGTTCAGAAATCCAGATAACAAGAAGTATTTGGCCACACGGTTTTGGTAAGTTGATTATTGATTATTTTAATTTGTTGTTCTCTGTTGTTTTTACTTTGTTGTTTTTCTGTTCATTTTAGAACACCACAGATGAATTTATCCATTAGAACACAATTAAATGTCTTCATTCTAGTACTGCTAATTTGCACAGGATTTCAAACATCTAATCTTTTTTTTTCCAATGTTAGACGAAAAGAATTACATATAACTGTGTTTAATACTGGAAACTGGTGTATAATAAATGCAGTAAATTTTGTGGTTTGCACCTTTTTGTAGCCAGAAGTTCTACAAAAGAAAGAACTGAGGTTAAAATTAAAATACTTTTGTAAACCAACTTTTAAATACTAATTAACACTGCTAACAGGAGGTCTTTTAGAGTTCTTTTATGCTGTCAGCATTCAAGCTTTGTGTTTTCATTCTGAGGCTAGTTACTTCCAATCCAGAATATGAAGTTTGGCAGAGCTACTTTTAGGAGAGAGATTTAACTCTTCCCTGTTAAGCATTTACTTGATGTCAGAGCTTCCTTTAAGCATTTTGTAGCCGTAGGTGATAGTTCCCAGGGGAAGGAAGTGTGAGTGTAGATCAGCCAAATGGAAAGACAGAGCTCCAACAGGTTTTTAATAGTAAACTAACTCAGAATGGAAAAAAAAACGCAACCAAATGTGTGGTCTGCCTATCATACAGTCAGTGTGTGTTACCAACAAACTAACTTGATCCGTGAAGGCATGACAGACTTTCCACTTTTAAAGAGTCTAAGCTGCTTTGATCACTGTCACATTTGTACCCACTGCTGTATCCAGCTCTTTCCCCTAGTTGTTTTTATTTGGTTTTTTTTTTTCATCTCTGTGGGTACATAGAAGTTCATCGACATTTGCCCGGTATTCAGATCCTTGTTCAAATTAATCATTTAGGCTATTATTTGTAAATTATTCCTTTCTCTAGGATTAGGTTTCTGTCTACTTTCCCTTACTATAAAAAATGTAGAATCTTCTTTTTCATTTGTTTCCTGAAATAGCAGAAACCTTTGCAGAAGAGAACAGTATTTTCTGTCATTCTTTCTTCATAATAAAAAGGCTTAATATTTCCCCTTTTAAATTACCTTAAAAATTAACCTCTTAAGAAAAGCACAACAAAAAAAACGAAGTTCAGTTTGGAAGGGAAAGATTATCATACCATTCCACATACTTCACTTGTTTTCAGAAGTCTGATCTTTTATCCTTACTAGACTGTTTCTCCTTCTAAGAAGTAGCTTGAGACAGGAAACCAGACAGCAGTCTGCTCTGATAAGGGAGAATATTGTCTAATGGAGGTGCCTCGAGAGCTTTTCTTTCTCCTTCTCTTAGGTTCAGTAAATACAGAACTGAAGGTTGAACAGGGTGTATATGGGCTCAGTTTTTCCTTGGTAAGGAAGACATTTTCTTAACAAGCAATTCAAGAACATTTTTGCCCCAAATTTTTACATACAAGAAAGCCATTTCCAGGCATGTGGCTTCAAAGAGCTTGCAACAGTATTATCATAAACTTAATGGAAATACCGATTAGTCTGCTACACAGATGATAAATAATTATGTCAAAGCAGTTCTAGGTCAAACAAGGTGAAGTTATGATGCACAAATTGGGCAAAACCACAGGTTTTTCAGCCTGCTTGCAGTCCTGAAAGGAGAAAGGTAAAAGATTCCTAAGTCTCTGCTAAAAAGCAAAAATAGTGTGAAATACTAAATAACAAAATCCTGTAGAAATGCTCTTTTTCTTCATGCCTATCAATAAAACTTAAAAGAGAAAATTTTTGCCTGCGTATCATTTTATTTTACATAATATCCTAACATTTTCGACAATTATTACCGTTTCCCAGTGGAAATCCAGTGAATAAAAAACAAAGAAGGCTGATGATCAGTGAAACATTTCCTTGGGGTGCTAGTTCTTCGTGATTCTCCCTCTGCTGTGTTCTTTATGGGCAGGCTGCTCTGATCTCTTCCCCAGCACCATGTCTGGAACTTTGTTCCTGCCCCTACTCTTGCTTGCTTTGACTGATTCTGACTGCTGTGCTGAGTTGGAGAGTTTCCTTGCCTGCTGCTATTTTGGGGTTGAGTGCAGTTAAGCACTTGCTTACTTCCCATTAAAGTTAATGGAACTTTAGAAACAGTTTTTTGCTGACTCAGATCGTGATGAGCAACTGGTCCAGTAAGTGAAAACACATTACTAGCCCTGGAAAACGCTTTTTGTACCTTCTCTATGGAATGTTGGTCTCAGAAACTGGTTTCTCTGTCAGACTCTCTTTCAAGGCTCCACTGAAGATGACTTCTCACCTGGGTTCAGAAATTTCCCTACCCTTTTGGATTTCATCTGTGGAGAGTCTTCTGATAGTACTGCTTCTCCTTAGTACCAGGAGAAGTTTGACTAGAGGCTCACTGGAGAAGTCACAGTTTCAAAGCAACAGCCTGAGTCCTTGGCCATGGGACTTAAAGTTGATTGCTAGATACCAACATGCTGCAAGAGCTGCAGTGTCTTTACAGAGAGCACTCATGCAGTGCTAATTTTTATCATTATATTGTTCTGTAATTATACTGACAATAACAATCATACCTTAAAGCTTCTAGACAAAGCCTCGCTGTACATGTGGCAGCATTCCTTTGCTTCCCCCAGGCACAAAGACTGAGGAAGCAAACCCCATATGTGCTTTCGGGCAGAGTGAAGAGAGGCAGAATTTATGGTCACCACCCCCCTGTCTGCCACAGGAGTCAGGTCACTCACTGCTCTTCCAGGTATTTAATGAAAGCAGAGGCTTTGTGTTAGAAGGAAGCTTTGTTGTTGGATGCACGCAGTCAAAACTGGCCCTCTGCCCCACCCTTTCCTTTCATAACACATTTGCAGAGTTGGTAGACCTTGAAGGTAGAGGTGTAGAGCTGCTGGGAGTAGCTGCACTGCGGTTGATCTTTTCCAGCTGCTCTGCAGTGCAGATGTGTAGTCTTGGTGCGTTCTTTAACCACTTTGCACGTTTCTTCTAGGGTAAATAATCCATACAAACCTTTATTGTCAGAATGCATGTTGAAGGATCTTTCATTTAATTATGTCTCTGAAATAACAAACCATACACCTGTCAGGAAGTTGGTATTGAGAAGTCTTCAATCCTGACAAGGTGATAAGCTCTAATAATAATGAACTTCCCTTCTGGAATGGAGACCTTGCTGCATATTGGATCATAAGGGCAGAGTTTCTGTTGTTTCTGGCTTGCTGTCTTCACTGGACTTCAGATAGGAGAATACTAAGGGACTTTGCCTGGACTTTACCTTGCACCTGTCCTTATTTCCATACAAAAACCAATTGCTTCATTCGTCTTTCTGAAGTACAGGGTGTGAGCAAAATTTTATCGAAAGCCATGTCCTGTTTGGACAAGTTGGACTGACTTGGCAGAGATCCACAGGGTGGAGTGAATGGGAGGAGGCAAGAAAGTAAAACTGGGTGGCTTGTTAGCTGAAAAAAAGAGAGGAAAAAAAAAAAAGAGGGTGGAATGTTTGCCTACCGGATTGCAGTTAATTATTTAGTTTCAGATTACATGCGTTTTAAATTCTTTTACCCCACATGAGAAAACCCTTTAATGCAAAATAGTTTACATAATAAAGTGAAAGACAAAGACCTTATTTTTTAATAGACTTAATATGAATATATATTGTTGTTGCCTCACTGTTTTTTCCAGAGCACCTCAGGAATGAGAGATGGTATTTTGATTTTCCAGAAATTAGTTGTATATACTAAACAATTTGCAGGCTTTCAAACAAGTACATTCTGAAATCACGGTGTAAAGTAGAACCCAACTGGTTTTTGATTCCTCTGTAATAGAAACAGATAAGACTGTTTACCTTCCCTATTGCCCCCTTTTCACATGTTTAGGAGAGAGAGATTGGGATTTTTTGAGTTTTTTGAGTAGGCATGCTTTTACAAATATACTGGGAAAAATTACCTACTTTTTAGTAGAACTGGTATGCTTTATTTGTGTGTGAGTGTACATGCATGTGGTCCAAGTTATCAATTTGGAGCATTATTTTTAAATACAAAGACCATTGTTTTGTGAGTTTGTTTACAGCCTTAGGAAAGCATCCTTTTGAGCTAAATTTTAAATGCCAGATCCAAAGCTGGTTTGTATTGATTCTATAGCAGTCCACCAAATAAGATCTGGATGGACAGGACCAAGTGTTATACACTAATTAATTTTCCTTTCTTGAAAATTGGTTTCCACTCACTATCAAATAGGCAAAATAAACCTACTTCTTAAGAGTAAAATGTGATAACGTGCCCAGTTTCTCTACTGTGATGCAGTAATAAAACTAAGGGTTTCCTCTGCTGCTCTTAGATGACTGCATTTGAGGAAGATTAAGAATTATTTTTCACTTTTATTCAGAGAGTACACTTTCTGTTGTCTGTCAGTCTAATTTCTACACAGTAATTTAGAGCTATCTTGGGAAACACTCAAATGTGTAGCATGACATGTCAAATATATATCAGTTGTCTTTTCACACACTTTCTTGAAAAGGAGTAACTCTTAAACTAAAGAAATCCAGTTTTAAAATTACAAAAATGAGAAAGTATGATCATCACTGCATTTACTTAGAAGAAACTCTTCTTTCTTTTCCCTTCCTTCCTACCTTCCTTCCTGCCTTCCCTCCTTTCTTCCTTTTTCTCTTCTTACTTTCTCTCTTCTTTTCTTTCTCTGCTTTCTTTCTTCCTTCCTTCCTTCACTAAAGTACAAATTAGTGTGTCACTATCTATGCACATACAAACTAAAAATTGGAAGTTCCTGAAAACTGAAGTAATTAGTTCCAAATTCTTATATAGGGGGTCTGAGTGGCTACATTTTACTATAAATATTTTTAGTGTCTAGAAGTATAAATTTTTTTTTGTTTTCACATTGCATGTATATGTGTGAGAACATGAGTGATGCATAGATATGTGGATGTATTTCTGGGAAGGCAGTCTTCTGATACATCAGTTCTAGCTATGTGAAACCTGAAAAAGATAACTAGATAATGGTTATCTAAAAGATAACCATTTGAAGAAGAATAGGATAATTAAAAACCTTCTCACAAATATATTTAAGGTATTTACAGAATTATCACAACTTCTAGCAAATAGTGCTGAAAGTTACACAACTGCTCCTAAACTAAAACTACATGGTAACTTTAAATTGGAAATTACATTAAGCTGTGTTATTTGTTTCACTTTGGTTTTGCAATTTGCTTTTGTCGGGCCTTCGACTTTTGTGAGAAGAATTATGAAGATACTTTAATCTACTTTTGCTGCTTGTTTCCATTATTCAAAATGCATGCCGTTGTAATGTATTTTCAGAAGTCTTTAAATGTTATTCGTATGCCTGAATAATTAATGGTAGACTTGTAACAACTCATGCCATCTTTCTCTGGAAGCTCTTAACAAATTTTGATCTATAAACACACATTAATTGCAAGATTGTTCATTAGTGTAGGCTTATTAGAATTTTTTTAATATGACCATCTTAAAATGTTCATTTACATTTCTGAGAGAATTTTCCAGCCTCAGCTACAAATCTGCTGGTGAGCCTTCAGCTTGTTCCACGGGGTGAATTGCCTGGATGGTGGAGTCTGTCTGTATTTCCTTCTTTCTAGTGCCATCTACTGGCCAGAAGGGAATGGGTGTCATTTATTTTTGTCCCTGCATCTTTAGATAGAGTTCATACCACTTCCAGGCAGGACTGTGAACTGTACAGGGTATGGTCAGAACTTGCTCCTTTAACATCAGTCATAATGGATAACCTCAAGTGATTTATATAAAGTTTGCCAAGATCTAAATGTTATTGTGAACAGCTTCTCTTTGCTTTCCTTAGATTCTGCTCTCTACCCTTATGGCTTTGCCGTAACTGTACAGGGTATAGTCAGAACTCACAGATCTAAGGAGATTTTTTGGAAGTGCTTTTCTTTTACATGGTTAACACAAATAGTTGTTGACTTGTCACTAAATCCGTTATGTCATGGGAATAATGATGCACTTTTTTATGTTAAGTCATTGCAGCATGTTGAATGTAGTCCAAGTTAGTCCTGGATTTTAGTATTTTTTTTTCATTGATATCAGTGTCACTGTATGTGAACTATTGAACATTTCTGTTAGGACTCTTAGAAGAGAGATATCCTCTCCAGAATCCGTTCACTTGTATAAAGAAAATTATTCTGAAGTTTTAATGGTGGTGAGAAATACTTAGCCTAAATTGTGATGTGTTTGAACACTGACAGCTAAGGAAAGTGACAGTTCGGTGGTCTTGGTATGCTGACATGCAGAATAAAATTCAAATTAACTTCCATTAGATTGAGCAAATGTCTCTTTCTTTCAATAGCAATTTGGAAAGAATGAACTTACAATAAATAAAATACTTAAGTTTAGTCAAATATTTAAGGATCTATATTAGAGATTGATAAGTATTCACTTTAATCTTACAAAAGAGTAAGTTCTCTGCAATTCAGAAAGTTGATTAGGGTGGCTTTCTAACACTTTGTCTTTGCCTTGCAGGCCAGGACATCAGAAGCATCAGAACAGGTGAATAAAAAAGATGCTAATGTTTGACCCAGTCCCTATCAAGCAAGAAGCCATGGAACCTGTTTCAGTGGTAAGACTTTTAAAATATATTGACCTTTGTGATGACTCTATTTTTTTCACCTTTAAGTCACACTAAGATTTCGTTAAGCTTTGAACTAGCTTAGGAAAGCCCGTGAAGCTAAGTTTTGCTCTTAATGCACTCAGATTCACATTCTAGGAAAACCTTCTGTAGTTTATTAATTTATTGCCTTAAGTGACCTGACCCATTGCCTGTCAGATTTGCTCTGGGGATGGGAGCAACAGCAAAGTTTCAACAGCTCCCATCTCCAGACCAGAGGAGAGAACATCCAAGAACTTGTGAGCTCTGCAGATATGATCTCTGTAGTCGGTGGTGCAGATAGAGGTGGGTTGAAATTAAGTTGCCATGCTTCACAGTGAAGTGGGGAGAGTCCGTGGTTTCAATGTTAACACCTTTGAACTAAATGAACAGCCTTCTCACTGTCCCTTTTTCTGTTTCTCTCTTGGTTGTGACAACATGTGCCTGGGGCTAACTCTGTGCTCTAAACTTAATCCTGAAAAAAAAAACAAAACCAACAAACCAGCACTGGCTTTTTGCTGGGTAGACTGGTTGCACTGCTTTACTGTGTGAACAGCTGAGAACTAGGGCAGTGGAGAAGGAACCAGGGGAAAAAGGCGAAGAGGAGACATTTCTTTAAAATTGGGTTAATTTTCAGTGAATGTGATATATAAGGTCATCTCAGAGAAGAGGCTGATAAGCAAGAGCAGCAGGGGTGTGTAGGTGGGAGCAGTACAATGAGAGTTGTGAAGATACAGGCTGCTGCTGAAGGGGAAGGTTTTGGATTTTCTCCCTCCTTGCCAGCTTTGTGTCTCCTTTGTGTGACTGAAGAACTGTGTGGCCCTAGAATGATTTGAATCAGCTCACTGAATGGTCAGAATTGCTAACCCACCAAAAATACTCATTTTTTGGTCAAATCAGGAAGTTGATCTGACTCATTCTGTGCAGCTCCTCAATATTAGAGCAAGGGAAGCAGGGAGGATGAGGAGAACAGGGCCTCCCCTTTCAGCAGTAGCCCACAATTACATCAAATTAAGTGTAATGTGAAACCACACCCCTAGAAAGGCTGAAGGGTGAAGTCAGTTTATGTAACTTAGAGTGTATTAAACTCATGCTGTGAATGGCATCTTTCAGTGGAAGGTTTGTTTCCTGTTTTATTAAAAATATAGAATAATTTTCATAGATTTGAATGCATCTGTAAGCAGTCTGATTTCTTCAGTGCTATTGATAACGTATTTTGGGAGTTAAGTATATATGCATTTTAATATTACAGTTTGACTTTTTTGGGGTTTATTTACTTGAGAGCAGTGATAGAAAAATAAATGTCACTGAAAGTGTGAGTATAATGAATTCCAGTATTTGGATCAGGAAGGAACCTTAGTATTGGCCAGTCTGCCTGTCACTTTAATCACAATTATTGTGTAACCTTATTAGCAATGATTATCTAAGGATATCTAATGGTGTCCATCAAAAGCAGAAAATAGGCTTCCTTGGAGCCCTGCTGCCACATGGTCCCATCAGAAACTGCTCTGGAGGCACCTCTAATGGCAGGAATTGTGATACAGGGAGAACATAGGAAAGGATAGCACCCACTGAGTGAATTAGTTTTCTTGACCACCTTTTGAGGAGGTGGAATGGAAAAGAAACTGTCAATGTGAGGTTGTGGAGGTGCCAAGTATATCACTACAGGCTGGCATACTGAGAAATCTAAAATCAGGATTATTTGTATTGCATCCTTTATTCTAATAGTATCATTACAGGCCAAATTAAATTAAGCCCCTTAGGAATTATTCACTCTTCTATCTGAACATACACTGTAGATGTAAAGTCTGTCTTTAAAACATACCATTAGTTGGAGTGGGAGAAGGAAATTAATAATGGTTTTGACACCACTGTATTTCAGGGTGTGTGGATGAAAGGATTAACTTCTTCTAAGGTGACAGAAACTTGCACCCACAGTATTTCATCACTCTAACAACAGCTCATGCCATTTATTGAAATGAATTATTGAACACATCCATCTTATGATAGTTCTTAATGAACTAGTGACAAAGTCATCTGAGTCCTACCTAAATATTTGCTGCAAGGACTTTTTAAACATTTGAACAAATACCAGTTACAATTTGGTGAAAGAAACTGCTCTTTTATGAGTTACCATCTTTATTTGAATTTAAATTGAATTGAAACAGTTTTTCTCTGTGTAGCAGAGTAGTAGAGAGAAGACTCTTGGTCAGGCACAAGAAGTATGACACTGTGGGTCATTATGATTGGATTTGTTGCTAACAGAGTATCTAAATATTGTCATATATGGCAATATAATATAGTCAGGTCTAAAAGGGTTATAATATGTACATAAACAGGTTCAGCTAGAAACATGCAGGTTTGTAGTCCTTGGCCTTGCAGCATGCACAGTTTCAAAGGAACAAAGCACCTGTGGAACTGTTTAAGGATTTAATCTCTGCATGTGACTGAATCTTGGCACTTTTATTCACCTGCTCAAAACTGAGTGTTCCAGTCTTTGCTCTGGATGTACAATGCAGGTCTCCCTGTTGTGGGAGGGGGAATCTGTCTGGAAACTGCCTACAACCTTGGGAGACCAGTTGGCCCAGTCTCCAGCAGCATTTTTACCCTTTTGCAAGCCCATGTGCTCCAAAGACAATCATAGTCATCATAGCTCCCCATCATGGAATGCATTAACTGTGTGAGTATCCAGGCAATTCCCACCTGGTGTTCTTGCCTTAGGATAAGGTTACACCTAGGGATGCTTGTTCTTTATTAGACTTTGTGACCAAAAGCATCTAAGATTTAAATTGCACAAGCTTTTTTCTTTCTAGTGTTCTTGTAATGAAAGAAGTGTTCATAGGTGGTGATGTTGTGATTGTCCCTCACAAACCTGCAGCACTGTAAATGCACTGATGTTTAGTGATGGAATGTTTATTTCATTGAAGCCGGGTGAACTTTGTACTATAAACGAATAACAGTAATTCTAACAGAACTACTTAATATTTCTTACATGTTTTTTTCCAAGAGGCTGGCCAAATTTTGAAGTCAAATTAGTAGGGTTGTGTTGTAGTTTATAACAGACTTGATGAATTGCTTGAAAATCTGTTCACCTGTACAACACATAAGATGTTTCACTGTGGCAGTATAACAGAATTTGGCAAATTATATCAGAATAGTGCTTGGTAATGTCCTCTTGTGGAAACAATAGTCTTTCTGGATGATAATAGGGGTGCAGGCAAAATATTTGAGCAGTCTTAATGCCTGACAGATTGACAAGAGGAGAAGCATGATGATTTTCTATTAGAATTTATTGTTTTAATTGTATAAACCACATGGATATGATTCAGAAATATGAGAAGTTCCTTTGATTTATTTTCCAATTTCTTTGTAGCTTCAGTGCTCTGAGTTTTATATGGACAAACAGCAAAGAAAAATTAATTGCTTTGTTAGACCTAAAGAGGGGAAGTGATGATACCAAACATAAAAAGAGCCAGATTGGGACTGTAAGGAGATGTATGTTGAAGTACAATCCTGCATCATTATAATGATCTAGTGTCGTGACATACTGTTCTGCCTAAGGATGTTTAGGAAAGCAGAATTTACAGGAAAGTGAGAATTTGTTGGGGTTTTTTCAATCCCAAGTCAGATCAAACTCCTCCATATGCTGTTAATTCCCACAAAAGAAATCCGAGGAAAATGCATCACCTTAAATATTTTAGGAAGACAGAGCAATGGTGTCTCATTTTCTATCATTCCACCAGAATACTTTGCCTAATCTAGGACAGGTGAGAAAAGATTGCAGACTATGAAATACACTCCTGCTTCCTGCACTTGGTGACATTTAGAAAACTAAACAGAGGTAGTTGGCCTTTTTTTTTTGTTTGTTTGCTGTAATTAATGCTCCCTATTTATGGAGAGAGACTGTGAAGTTTTCCTTGCTGTCCCATCCCATATCCCAAGGGATGCTGCCTACTTTCCTGGCAAAGAAAAGAATAGCGACACCAAATTTGAAAGCTGTGGTTCATATCAACCTAATGGCAATCACTGTGTCCCAGGACCTAGAAACTGAAACGTTGCTATGCCAAAAGATACAGGAAGTTTAACTTCAGAGCCAGGGTAGATCTGAGTGTGGCTTACACCAAGTGAACAGATTTTCCACCAGGCTTCATTGGTAGTGTCTGATCGACAGCAGATATTCCCTTTTTCATTGTTCTATCATCCTTCTCAATTTTTTCACCCTTTTTTCCCCGAACACATAATTTGTCACACCACATTTTTCTGTGACAACTTTATCTGCAGTTCAGATAGAAGAGCAATTAGAACCGCAGAAGGAAGAGAAGTGTAGGAAAATGATTCAGCTTCTCCAAACTGCCAGAAAATGTAGCTGATGCTAAATCTGTGCCAGCTGAATTACAACAATGAAAGCCTTCTATGCAAGATAATGCAAGGCATATGGGGTAAAACACCGAGTCTCTAAAATAATCACTTCTTTAAAACATCATTATTTTCTTTCTGATTCTTGGAAAGTATTTCTTGCTTGTCTAAATATATTCTACTTAACTTTTCTAATTGAGAGTTCTCTGCACAACATTTTAATACTTTGGTATTCGTTTCAACAAACACACACACCCACCCCTGGTGTTGAAGAGTTGAAAGAGGGTATATATAGGTATGTTTATATGAAAAGGTTATAGCTGACCAACAGCATTCCCTGAGATTTAAATTGCATAGGCTTTTTTGTTTCTAGCGTTCTTGCAATGAAAGAGAAATGTTTGTAGGCACTGACATTGTGGCCATCCCTGACAAACCTGCAGCACTGTAAATGCACTGATGCTTAGTAGTGGAATATTTACAGTTTACAGTTGAAGCTGAGTGAACTATAACCCAATAACAGCAATAACTATAAACCAATAACAGCAATTTTAACAGAAGTACTTAATGTTTTGTTCCTGTTTAAATTTTTTGGTTTTGGCTATGATGCTCATAACTTGTTCAGATTTAATACATAGTAAATGCTGTTAAATGTTAAATTCTATCAATATTTAGTGGTCTTCAATTAGAATGCTAATGATTTTGTTGCTTGGCTCAGCAGCGCTGGCAAGTCTACAGACAGCACTGCTGCAATAAAGGCATTTTAATAAAATTCTGAGAAACCATTTACCATTAAAGATGAATGTTTTTATAGATTGAATTTGTAAGAACAGTCATAAACAATAAAGTTTCAGATGTTTTAATGTAATGTTTACTGTTTGAAGATTAATCACCATTGTGTATGCTGCTTTGTTTGAATATTTTATGGAAGAGGTGACTCAGCTTTGTTGTTTTATCACAGCGCTTTGAATGCAGCAGGAAAATTTTATATTTTCTAAACTCACTGTTTCAAACAGTAACTGAAAAGAAGAAAACTACATTTGTGTCATTTTGCACAAGTACTTCTAGTTAACATTGAAAACCAGGAAGATGTATTACTAGAGCTATTTACCATAGGAAAAAATAATTGAAATGTTATGGAAACAATTATATAAAAATACAGTAGTTTTATACTTCTGATCTGTTTCACTTTCTACCATTTTGAATATTTTTTTAATCCCGCTCATCAAAGTATTTTTGGTGCCAAAGAATCAGTTTTTTAAGATTACTGTGAAACTGCTTAGCCTTAATGTGAAGGTTTACTTACCTAAAATCCAAAGACAGCATTTTATTTCAAAAAATTGACAACAGGACTAAAAATCTGTGTTCATTGCATATTCTGTGTCTCTCTGCTACGTTAGAACATCACATCCGTTTCTACTGTAAATTAGCTGTTAATAAACAACCTCGATTTGCAACAGTTTTTAAATGCAAAATTGATCTGGATAGTTGTTTAATAGTATTGTACTCTGCAGTGTATGTTAATACTTCTTGGTTTATAAAAATAATTAGTATAAATAACATAATAATATATAAAATTATTATTAAAATATGGAGATCATCACATAGGTCAAGATTGGCTTTGGGGTTTATATTGTAATGAGAACTGCTAGCTACCATTAACAGGAATATTCTTCCAAATGTTTATCCTTACACTTATTTTCCAAAATCGGACTGGCTACTTAGCTGCTTTATATCTCAAAAAATGGTTTAGAAAGGTTTAGAATTTTCCTTTTGCACTCTTCAGTTTCTCACCCATTACTTACGTAGTTTAGCTGTGTATTTTTTATTGATTGTTGGATTCAGATACATAATTTCTTGCTTTAGCAATTGATTGTTTATCAATAACCTTAGCATTTGTTTGGAACCCATTACTTGGAATTCTAAGTCAAATTTAACTCTGTCTTGCTAGAATTCTTGACCCTCAGTATATATATACTTATATGCTGGGCATTAGCAGCATGTGTCTCCCAGGTCAGTTAAGAAATGTGCAGCTTAGTGTATAACAAGCAGTTTTTAACGGAGAAAATAGTTGAGTAAGCCTTGAAGATTTGTTTTCATAATCTGTTTTACATTGCTTCTGGAACAGTTAGTGAATCAGTACTTGAATAAATTCCTTTGTGTGGAATCTTAGGCTTTATTTAATTCACTTTTATTTAGAAAGTACAATAAAGTGCTTTCATTAAACTTCTTTATTTTGCCTCAGTTTTATTAGCCGTCTTTCTTTTTCAGCAGTAACTGTGTGATTTATTATTTGATTTTCCTTATTTCTTTTCCACTCCTTCTGACAGTCATATCCATCCAATTATATGGACCAAATGAAGCCAAACAAGTACAGCGTCATTTATTCTACACCAAGTATGTTGCACAATAAATTCTACTCCAGCCCTGAAGGACTATCAAATGGAATCCAGATGGAGCCAGTAGACCTTACAGTAAATAAACGGAGCTCACCACCTTCAGCTGGAAGTTCTCCTTCCCCACTAAAATTTCAGACTGTGCATAGGAGAACTTCACCTGGATTGACTCTGTCCACACCCAGCTCACCTCTCAGTAAGTTCACACCGTCACCCCCAGGAGTACAGCCCATTTCTATGCCAATAACAATCCCACCTGTAATGGCCGCTGCTCTTTCACGCCACGGACTGAGAAGCCCTGGAATACTCCCAGTTATACAGCCTGTGGTGGTCCAGCCAGTTCCTTTTATGTATGCTCCCCATCTCCAGCAGCCCATCATGGTGTCCACAGTTCTTGCAGATGAGATGGAAACTCCAAGTAGCATGCAAGGTTGGTGTTGTCAGAGTTCTTTTTTATACCATCTCATCATGTGAAAATAATTCTTCATCCAAGCACTTGTTTCCTGTATTTCTTTGCATATTAGGAAATGGAACAGAATTCCTGTTCTTCCAAAATATGCAGGCGTAGAATTTGTTTTGTATATATTTTACCAAACTTACCAAGGTCACAGAATCACTTAGGTTGAAAAGACCTCTGAGATCATTGAGTGTAATCTGTGACCAATCACCACCTTGTCAACTGCACCGTGGCACTGAGTGCCACATCCAGTTTTTCCTTAAACACCTCCAGGGATGTGACTCCTCCACCTTCCTGGGTAGCCCATTCCAATGTCTAATCACCCTTTCTGTGAAGAATTTACTCCTAATGTCCGACCTAAACCTCCCCTGGTGCAGCTTGAGGCTCTTGCCTCTCATCCTGTTGCAAATTGCCTGGGAGAAGAGACTGACCCCAACCTGGCTACAACCTCCTTTCAGGGAGTTGTAGAGAGTGATGAGGTCTCCCCTGAGCCTCCTCTTCTCCAGGATGAACAACCTCATCACCCTCAGCTTGGTCCTCTTAGGTCTTGGTCCTCTTGTGCTCCAGACCCTTCGTGTCCCTTCTTTATACCTACATAAAGGTGTTTAACTGCTGGGATTTGGATTGATAAAAATGTTGGACTGAGGATAAAATGAATAGAAGTGCTTTGAATCATAGTTCATCAGGAGATAGACAAAAGCTGGAAGATTTTGTATTTATCATGAATTGTCACACTAAATATAGAACTGATGGATTTATTTTGTTTTAACTATAGATTTTCATGTATACTTTTTATTTCCATAACTGCTTCATATTTTTTATGTGTTGCCTTCCCTCTCCTACCCTCCTCCATACAGTGCCTGTCATTGAGTCTTATGAGAAGCCTACACTGAAGAAAACAATCAAAGTAGAGCCAGGAAGTGAACCATCGAAGACTGACTTCTATCCTGAACAAATGTCACCTCCGATGATGACCTCATTGTCTCCCCAGCAAGTAATGTTGCAAGAGTAAGTAGCCAACAGTAGTTCCAAGATCAGCAGAAGGCAGTTCATTGGAGCATTTATGAGTTTTGAGGAGTGGGAATGATTGTTGCTGTGCTTTAGAACATGTGGTAAATACAGAAAAGCATTGTTCCCTTCCACCACTGCCACTGTGAAATGTGATTTCAACTTTTTTTTTCTCCCTTCTTTAGCAGTACAGAAGTTGATACATATTTATATATCACAACCACGTAGATCTACCGTTTGTATAGTGCATTTCTGAAATGTTGATAGTCCCAATCATACAGTTTACTGAGAATAGAACTCCCATTAAGCCAGTGATAATCTATTTATGTAAAACCAGCAGCAAACTTGAAAGATAGCTACAAGGGATTTCATACTGATCTCTGTATTTATCTTACTTGAAAGACCTTTCTTTAAAATGAGTGTTGTGACTTTCTCTTCCTGGAGGCCTTCTTTGTTTTTTCAAAAATTTTGGCTAGATGATGGAAAGAACCTCCTCGGGCTTACAGGTTCTCCATATATCGAGTGAAATTCCATGTTTACCCAAGGCCGTTGTTCTGTGGGTGATATTTTTGGCAGTTCAGGTAGTTTCTGAAGCTTTCCCTCCTCACAGCCACTTGTTTCCATCTCAGTACTAACTTGTTGAGCTGGTATAGCCTTTACTGGGGCCACTACATGAACTAGTAGATCACAGATCTAATTGGCTTTAAAACAGTGCTGTTTGCAGAAGGCAGGGCAAGGGCTAGAAAGAAGAAATCATTGAACATTTTCATTGGAATAATTAAAAATTTCTCAGAAAGCAGCCATGGGCATCTTCTCCATTTCCTGTTTCCTAGGGAAAATTCTGTCAACTTATTAAAACCGTGGAATGGCCCAGAGCCCGGCTCATCCTTCAGCAGGCAGTGCTCTGGGTAGGCATGCAGGCTGCCAGCGTGGCCCTGGCAGGAGCCGAAGTTGGGAACTGAGCACAGCTCATAGCACATAACCTCACAATCCATTTCTGCCCTTTCTTCATGCTCATTGTTGCCCTTGGGGCAGTTGTGTTTTGACCAAACCTCATAGAGTAGGGGAAAAGGGCTCCAAACCAGACTCTCAAAACCCAGTGTGAGTGTGATTCAGAAAGAGAAAGCAAGCATATGGCAGGTGGTCTCCTGCATTTCCTTCAGAAGACTGCCTCTTCCTCCTGCTCATGGCCATTGGGTTAGAAGGCACACTGCAGCTCCAGGGCTAACTACATTCCATGCAGCCTTCTTGTGGGCACCCCTCCTTGGCTTCAAACAAGCTTCAAACAGCTAGCTTTTATAAACTGTATGCTGTTTATTTTAAAATAACCTTATATGTTTTAGTATATTAAACATACAATAGTAAACATCCATGTTTACTAGTTGCTTACTTACCTTCCATAATGGACCTGCCACACAAGGCAGTCAGGTCTTGGAACTAACTACTGCTAAGTCAGGACTGTCCAATGGTTCAGTTTACTTTTTGTCCTTGTTAAGCCTCTTGAACAAGAGCAAACCAGTAAGTGCTGTTTCTGGCTGGTACCACACCCTTCCTCCAGGGCTGAGACTTCTATAGACTTGTCACCTGCATTAGTGATTTGCATTATAAATTTTCCAGTGAGTCCAGTTTCCACAGGAAACCCATCCGCTGAGCAAAGAATATAAAATTTGGTATACTGTGTAGGTAGCTTTGTTACAAAAAGAATTTCTATAGTCCACATTTCCAAAGCATCTCCTCTGCTTGCCCGTCCAGAGCATTATGTTTGTGGAGACCCTGTCCTTGCATCCTAACAGCTTAAATACCTACATAGCTGTCCTGTAGAGCTGCAGTTCTTGCTTATTCCTAAAGCCAGCCCTTTCAAGTTCTCATTCTGCTGTATCCAAAATAAGAGGTTTATGACCTGTATTTTTTATCTTTTTATCATTAAAAAAATACATAGACAAATCACACAAGTTACAAGATGAGAGACCTAAACCTTTATAAAAAAAACAAAACTATAGTCTTTGAGCTTTATCAGTCTCTGCATTAAGAGCTATAGTTAAGCAGTGATCATTTTATCGTTTTTCATAGGTTCCAGCTGCCTAAAGTGCACTCTTCAGACACATAAGCTGTATTAAAGGGGCATAGGAAACCTTCAGTCTAACTTTTAAGTGACTTATTTTGATTGAGTGTTAGGTTTTGGCATACACACTGTATATATGTATATATATGTATGTATGTATATATATAATGTTGGTGGCATTTCTGTAGGAGTGGCTGGACTTTCTAGTACCTGTGATAATCAGTGTAAGTATGTAATAACTTCCAAAATCAAACTTGATGTAATAATCTCTAGCCCAATACAAGAAGCCTCATTAACATATTTTCATGCAAATGTCAGAGTCTCACTCATGCTGTCAACACAATGTGGTCTGTGGGGAAGGAGAAAAAGCTGTTGAAATTGTAACATGCTTTTTGGAAGATACTCTTATATATTGAAGAGTGACACATAAGTGGGTAGACTTAAATGAATTTGTATCTGGTTGTATAAGAGGGAATGAAAGAATTAGGGCTGTGCTTTTATTATTGGCACTTACTTAATATTTACCTCTGAATTTTGACACCGCCTTAACCATTTTTTAAAACTACCACACCCTATCTGATTATTGGTAACATTTTGTTGTCTTGCCAATCTCATCTCCTCTAAAGCAAAAAGCAGACGAATTCTCAGGGCTTTTTCTAGATGCTTTGAGATTGAAAATCATTGCAAATGGTGTATGGTCAATACCCTTTTTCTCCCTTTTCCCAGATGTTAGCATGTCCAGGACTAGCCTCCACACATAATGATTTAAATCAAGTTTGTTTGCTGTTCTAAGTCAGAGCTCTAGCCAGAGAATCCAAAAGACTAGTATGCAACAGCGTTAAAACTGAACATTGCTTTAGAGAACCGTTTCTTTGGAAGCTAGAAGCCTGCCTTTCTTATTTAAGAGTATGTGCATCTGTGTCTAACATCACCATCTGGGGTTTCCTGCCATTATAATATTTTTAGCTAGATCTAATGTGTACTTGAAGAGTACATCACTCAACAGTCACAGAACCACCAGTGAAAGAAAATTTGGCTCCCAATTTTAAACTTGTAACTCTAATAAAAGAATTAAAAACAGAATTAAACTTTTCCCACATCACTAATCCCCATCCTGCTGTTTTCTTCTTAAACCATGCAGAAGATTTTCTGTCTTTAGCACATGCCCTTTATTTTGCTCAGAAAAGTAGGTATTCAATGTTCCTGAAAATTAAGCCTTAAAGGAACTTGGTGTAAGTAACTAATAGAACCTAGTGTTACAAAGCATAATTCAATTGGTAAAAAAATGTGAAATACAGTAACTGAGAAAAGACAGGAGTTCTAGAAAGCTCACATGTGTTGCTCGTTTTGCAACAAGGAATGCTAATACCTGCAGGTTATATTCTAAGTTTCAGTTAAAAGCTAAAGAGTATATTAAAAGCTTTGATACAGATCTGCTAATGGGCTGAAAAGTGCAACCTTGTTAGTTTGAAAGATTTGTAATGCCACATACCTTTTTGACAAGCATACTTGTTGCCTTTCCTAACATTGATGTAGAAGAAAGAATCAAAGTTGTCCCCAGTTCTACAGTAGTGTGGCATTCAACAGTCAACACCTTTTAAGAAGCTCGTATGTTTTCACGTGTGTGAAGGTTATGGTTGTGTTTGTTGCAGAAGTCTATGTGTAGTTAGGACATGTCTTACCTATACTGTACCTGTGGGCTTCTAAAATGAAAAATCATGTTTATGAAGGTGGAGGGACAACTGCAGACATCCTGTGGGTGTGGCACATGGGCTAAGCTCTACTTTTAGGAATTGACGTCAGTGGTACAGGGAGGCCGCACCCTCCTACCAGCACCAAACAGGAAATTCTTAATTACATTTTAAAGGAGTGGCTGGAATAATAAAGATTGACTTCTGCTTTGAAACCCTAAAGATACAATTTCTTTAATAACATGGGATAGCTGTTTCCCATTATAAGCAAAATAGTTATATTTGAAGGATAACGAAAAATTGTGAACAAATACAAGGACAGTTCACTATGAACTTCGAGAAATCTGGGGTTGACTGAAAAACCAGAATTTGAAGAGGGTTAAAGTTAAAAAAAAGGGTATGAAGTAAAAATGGCTACATCATACCACAAAGTGAGTAAACATTTAAAAATATTACTGCTACACAAAATTTGCTAACCCTGTTGAATTTTTCAACGTGCATGTAATGTAGTTTTCTGCCAAGAGACAGAGTAGTAGTGAATAAAAGTCTGTGTTATGAATCACATTAGCTGAGGTTTGCTGTGCTAAATGTTTTTCATTTTTAACATTCAATTTGACTTTGCAGGAATCACCCTTCAGTTATAGTTCAACCAGGAAAGAGACCTTTACCTGTGGAATCTCCGGACACACAAAGGAAACGCAGAATACATCGATGTGATTATGAAGGCTGCAACAAAGTCTACACTAAAAGCTCCCATCTGAAGGCTCACCGAAGAACCCATACAGGTTTGAGCATTGCTATGCTTCTCTTTCATCAAGTCTATGGTAAAATAGTAGCCTAAGCTTGTTGTTCCTGCTAATGGCCCAGGTGACCACAGGTGTAAATAACAAAATGAAAGAAGTTAGATCTGTTACTGTGGATATAATTATAGGCTGAGCAGAAGACAGAGGACATAGCAGGAAAACGCACAGCAAGAGACTGTAAGTCAAAACAGGCTCTTGGGGTGTGCTGGTGTGCTTTATGTTCACTGGCTCTTCACTTGTTTTGTGTCCAATTGCTTGCAAATTACTCAATCTGCACAACCTGTAAATACCAAAATGTTTCAAATTGCACTGCCTCAACTATGACATCACTGTTAAATTTGACTGAGACTTCCACGGGAGTAGCCCATTTGCAGAAATCTGGACTGTGTGCCAGATGCAAACACATCTGCTCTGTGGACATGCTACCAGTGGTCCGATGGTACTCTTTTCTGAATGTTCAAGTAAGGATATCCCCATCTCTGCTCTCCACAGAAATGTTCATCTTGGCTTGCTAAATGAATATATACACATCCAAGGTTTTGGGGCAGTACAGTGGTGTTAAAGAAGAGGGAGAATGACATATAAGAAAGTAATGACTGAGAGAGATTTTAAGTTGAGATACTTGTTACAATGGTGTCAGTTATTTATACTACATTAAATTTCAGTAATCACAAGAAGATTTCTGCCTGCTGTTCTGAATGGTAGCACAGTCCTTTCCCCCATCTAATCTGGAATGAATTCCCTATTTTGAAAATACATGAAAAAATGCTTAAACCTTTACACTTCTGGGCTTGATGAGACAAAACAAGTGCTAATATGGCAGAGAGAGGAACAGAGAGACAACAAAAAAAGAAGTTGTGGCAGGAAACAATTTTTCGGTCTGTTAACTCAGACTGCACTGTTTCTAGTGCAGAATACTCTGCAGCCTTGTACTATTTGCAGGCCTTTTCAGTAAGCATTGAAGTACTTGCTGAAATTTGACAAGGCAAGAGAACAAATCTGTCAGATATTTAACTGATGGGTTCATGTCCTAAATGGCCACTTCTGTGTTTCTTTTTCCAGGTGAAAAGCCGTACAAATGCACTTGGGAGGGATGCACGTGGAAGTTTGCTCGTTCTGATGAACTAACGCGGCATTTCCGCAAGCACACGGGAATCAAACCTTTTCAGTGCCCAGACTGTGACCGTAGCTTTTCCCGTTCAGACCATCTTGCTCTTCACAGAAAACGCCACATGCTCGTCTGAATGTCTTCTGTCCCTGACTCCTGTCACACATTTTTTGTTTTTTACACATGCATTTTAATTTGGATTCAGCTGGTCTGGATCTCTGAGTTTATATCATTAAAAACTTACGTATGGTCAGTAACAGATGTTATCTAACCCTCCTATGTCCTTGCCACGGGTCAGACCTAAAGAATGTGAATACTTCTTTTTTTTTCTCCTGGGGATGCTAAGCAAACCCTTTCTACATTCAGTATGTTTAATGTATTCCATTTGAGAATAAGGGAATTTGTAAACTAACAGCTTTTGTTGGTTTCTTCATATAATCAACCCAACATATACTGATAAAATAGTAAATGTTATTGAATATCCAAAATACTAGTCCTTGCCAGCCACTTTCATTTATGTGCCTAGTAAGGGATACATTCTCATTTATGCTCAACAATGCAATGAATGGACTCTCCCAGCTGTGTTGATTTCTGCAATGTGATTAATGCAACAGTTTTAGAAAGACACCTGATTTGAAAATCACCTCTGCCCAAACAGTGAGTAACGCTGAGGAAATAAATCTAAACAGTGTAATTACTTTACAGAAGGATTGAGTCATAGTATCATTTACCCCAGTCAAGAAGAAAAATTGGCAGGAATCGGTCCATACATAACACTGTGCATCTAAACCAATGTCATCTGTCGTCCGTATGATAGTGTAGTAGATACCCTTGTTTTTATTGCATAATACCCCAGTGGATTTGTTAAATGAAGACCTTGTGTGACACTGTATGTCTGGTTTCTGTGCAAGTGTATGGGTGGAACACAATGAGTGAAGAAAACAGCCTGAAGCTGAGTCAGGGGAGGTTTAGGTTGGATGTCAGGAAAACGTTTTTCACCCAGAGGGCGGTTGGGCACTGGAACAGGTTCCCCATGGAAGTGGTCACAGCACCAAGCCTGACAGAATTCAAGAAGTGTTTGGACTCTGTTCTCAGGCACATAGTGTGACTCTTGGGGAGTGTCCTGTGCAGGGCCAGGAGTTGGACTCAATGATCCAAGTGGGTCCCTTCCAACTCAGGATATTCTCTGATTTTATTGTACTCTCCTGTGACTTGGCATTACATGATATTCATAGAAATCTACTGCTCCTCATTTCAGGGATATGGACTATCCCCCTACAACCATGCCCCTGCATTTCCTCTAAATAATTTTTTCTCTTTACCTCAGAAAATAGCAATCATCACGTCAAAAATGCTCTGAGCTGTATTGTGAGTACCACTTTAAGACACTACAGTATTTAAAATTATTAATCCACAATATTTTTGTAAGAAATTGGCATCCGATATGATGCACTTCTGATAAATTGAGTCATGTTTCTGTTTTGGATAAAAATGTATACCAAATCATCCAGTTCCTAACTCTGATTTGTGACTCTGGTAGTCTCTCTTTGTAGGTAGACAAAGCTTTCCTGTAGATGTGTCTATTGCATTAAAACTTCAAATCAGCAAGTCTTAACTCCCATGTCTGTTAGCAAACAGAACTCCATAGGTAAAAGAAATTGAATTCAAGCAGCCTGCAGTTGAGCCCAGATATTTTCCCGTCTGGGAGCTCTCTGAAAGGAAGGTTTCTGTCTGTATTAGCTGGCAGACTTTGTGGCACTGCAAGGGAACAGGATATATTTCTCCACACTCTCATTGCACCAGTGTGTTTTTCTTCTTTGTTCTATGCAACATAAACACTATTCCCTGCAAGGTTTTCCTTTCTCCTGGAAAATCCCACTGGACAATGGAGGTTTGAGGAGAGGAAGAGCTGCATAGAGCTCTGCAGGAGGAGGCAGGTGGAATGTCCATCTGCAGGTGGGTATATTTGAGCTTATGGAGCAGTTAGGCTGTGCTTCTATAGCCTGTGTAGTCCAACAGCAAACAAATAATCTTGGAGGTGCAAGAGTGTGAATGCAAAGAGCCTTCCCTTGGTGATAGACTTTACCAGGACTTTACTTAGACTGTTCTGCTGACATCCACATACCCACAGAATAAGAGGAGAGGTCTCTACTTCCTGGAAAAAAACTCTTCAACAGCAATTTTATGAAATAGTATTGTTCAGTTGTTAACAACTCTTGCATTGGGTGTATCGAACTGGTAATTATATTTAAGGAATAGAGCCCTGAAGATGTGCTCTACAAAGGGGAGAGCAAGGATTTGCAAAGTAGGGCTGGGAACATTCATGCTTTTGTGAGGAAGATCTATATGCTCTGTTACAGCTACAAACATCCTCACCACTTGGTTAGGGCTGAGGGAAGTTATGCTACATCTGTCTCATAACTGACCCTGATCTGCTCATCTATGGTGCTGAAAAACTTGGGACATTAATTGGTCTTTTTTTTGTAGTCCAGATTGTTATTGACATTGAGGAACTTGTAGGAAAGAGGCAGATACTAATGAACAGCTCTTCCAGAACAGGGATTTTTGTTCGATATTTTTGCTGTCAGTGGTAGCAGAATTGGCTTTAAGTTTTAATGGCAGTTTCATAAATGCAGGTGCATCACTGCGGAGAGGCTGTGTAGAACCTTATGGCATCAGTCACAAGTTTACAGACATTTAGTATCCTGGGATGAAAACAATTCTACTATAAAAATATAGGTGCTATAAAAACAAGCAGCTTCATGGCGACTGGTCCCATTTTTAGCTTAACAAATGTAAATGCATAACATTTGGGATGTTTAAGGAACATTTCTGTCTCTGTTTCGCTTTTGAGGCTTTTATAAAATGTTTTCATTAATATGTTCTCTTTTAAAATATTTTTTTTAAAATCAGAAACAAAGATCAAGTACCCTAAAAGCAGAACTTCTTTGTAACTAAGAGTTATTTCAGATAATTTAGTCTAGGTTATTTGCCATGTTAATTCATGAGCTTATTTACGTTTTTCCTGAAAAGATTTATGCTAATGGTGGGGACAAATACAGTGGAGATTCAATAGAACTTTAAAATACATTCACCCATGTGCCTTGTGAATTAGGACAACAAACATTTAAATATTAAATACGACTACTTGATATTATTTCATGTAAATGCCTTCCTTTACAGGATTTTTCACTTGTGGCTGTGGTGTCTTTGTGGGATGTCAAAAAGGTCACGAACAAATACACTTTGATCTTTCAGCTGAATGTGAAGTTACAACTTAACCAGCTCATCGATTGATTTTAGCAAACTTTGATTTGAGGGATACCTTGTAATTTTTAAATATACAACTCCTTTCAAAGCAAATCCTTCCATCTTTGCCCTAAAGAAAAGCCAGTTGAGATAGAAAACTCTAAACCTGGAGAATGTGTGTATTTAAAAACCCCGCCTTTTCCCCAAGTTTTATTGCACTGGGCAGCTTTTAACAGGTAACACTGTTCTACAAAAATGTGCCTGTTTAAGCCATTTGATTATAATAAATTACTAGTTTCTAATGCAAAAAACTGAGGTATTAATGTGTGGGGTTTATTTAAATAGACACCCACCATTCTGCAGTGATATTTCAAATGCTACATCTTGTCCAAATATGTTGTTGTTGCTGTCAAGGTTAGCAGTATGTAGATGAATACAAATCCTTTCTATAAAAATTTACAAAGCATGTTACATCTCTTAAGAGGGCTACACCAATTTTACAGATATTAGCACTTTTTAAAATGTAATTTAAAGGGTCAAAATAATCTTTTTGCTTAGCATCTCTCACCTGCAAATATAGCATGTATGTTTTATTTACTTTAATACTTCTATAAACTATGCAGAATTTTTTTAATAAAATGTAATATATTTTATAAGCTAATAAGACAGAATGGGTAATTAAAGGTTTCTAGCGTGCATTACTATAACTTCCAAATATGGAGACATTTTGGTAATCTTTTCTTACTAAAGATGTGAATGTTTAATGTACTTTCACTTGTTTCTACTTTGGTAGTCCAATGGGAACTCAGTAATGACATTTTGTCATGTCAAACTGTGAACATAAATTTGTACTGTACAGTCCTCATACTATATTTAGTATACAGTTCATATGTATTATACTTGTTAATAAAACACTCAGAATATTGGTTTGGGTCATGTTGTTGCACACTGCAAGACAAAGAGCATGATGCAGGTGTGAGGGTCAGAGGAACGCCTGGAGACCCCAGTGGGCTCTGGGGTTTTGGGAGGCCGTTCTGCAGGGCCCGTGGGCACTGCCCGTGTGTGCCTGCCCCACGTGGGGCTGAGGGCAGGAGCACAAGGCACCACCTGGAGGTGCCAGCGCTGCTTCCAGCTCCTGCGTGCTGGAGGACCTGTGCCCGGCAGCATACCTAGTGGCAAGCTCACCAAAACATTTTACTTGCTTCTAATTAGGGTATTCTAATTAGTCCATTGACAGGTCTGCAGCACCAAACAAGCAGGTTTGCTTTTATCACCACTCACCGGAGGATTGACTGGGCATGCGAACAGACTCACACTGCCAGCATGTCAACACGTGTGAGTCCTGCTCACCTCTGGGCACACCTGCAGGCTTTAATGAGAGATGATGATGAAGAATGGGGGTTTATTTATTCACAATTTTACAGATGCTTAAAAAGAGTAAGCCTGGTTGAATTCAGTATGCATCCATAACTGCTGAGGTAATGGCATTGGGATGTCGGTCTATTTCTGCCTGGAACCCTGCAGATCAACCTGATGAGCACCTACACCATGCTTTGGTGACAGAAGGGAAAGCAGGTACGGTGGAAAGGAGGCATAAGAACAAAACCCTGCAAACAGAAAACAGATCGTGAGAAAATGACCGGCTTTATTTCTTGGCCTCCTGCTTGAAAATAAGGACTACTCATTGTAAAGCCAGAGTCTGCTCACATCATGATGCTGATTTCCAAGATTCAAGCAGGAGGGACCAATGGAATGGGGGACTGGGTCACAGGCACTGATCCAGCGTGGGAGCTGCCAAGGGAAAGGGCTCATCCTGACCTGTCCTCTCTAGCCCACACAGACCTGCAAGAGGCTACTCCAGTTGCTGGGCTGATACGATTATCTCTTTCAGTTTCCCTGAGGCAAAAACCATTGCATATGTTCTAGACGGAGCTATGATTTTCAGGAAACAGTGATAATTTAACCGACCACTAGGTGTCCCCCTTAGTCTGTGAAAAAGGTAACCTTTATGAAATTGTAATTTAGGATAATATTTCTCCTCTCGTATTTGAGAAATGAAGTTGTTCTCTCTGTCTTACCTGGTATCAGTGAGTCTGATCCTGTCATACACAGAAATCTGCTCAAGGATTCAAATCTGATCTTTACTGCAAATTTTAGCCATAAAAACACTTTAAATGTATCCTCTGCAATTAAAACTCTGGCCTGGCTGAACACTAACTAAGTCAATACACAGTGCTGCTTTCATATGTGCTCCCAGGCTGGTAAGCTCAGGAAGAGCAGCATTTGACACCATTTTTATAAATATGACAATATTTCAAGAGTTCTACCTGGTACTCATGTCCTGTAAGTCTTGCAAACTTCTTCAAAAGAAGAAGCTCTAAGAACACATAAAAAAAAAAAAAAATCGTCAGTTTATTGCTTCATAAAAAGCAGTGAAGGAAAGCATTTGCTAAATCTGGCTAAAAAAAAAAAAGTATGTACAAAGTTTCAGGGAAAAAGGAAATGGGAAGTTCCAGCAGAGAAGTGATGAGAAATAATGTCGAATAGCAACTTAAAAAACCCAAACCAAACCAAATCAAACAAACAAAAAAACCACACACACACAAAAAAAAACCCAGCAAATATTCTAAACCACAACAAAATGAGCCTGCTTTACCAAATAAATAAAAAAGGCACTAACGCTTGGCCAGGTGACAGCCTAAGGGCAAACTGTGATGTGATGTGATGTGATGGAGGAAGTAAAGAAAAATCCTGTAGTGAAGAACCTGTTAAGAAGGAAACAGCTTGTAGCTCATAGCAGGATGCTCTGCAGAGTGGGGATAAAACAGCTTCAACAATACCCCGTTTGCAAAGCTGTCCGTGGAGAATGAAGAAGGCTGTGCCATGCTGCTTTTGGTGCTGAAGAATGCTGAAACCAGCCTGACTCATCAATCCCAAACATCCTGAGGAAGAACAATATTTCCTCATAGAAACTGGCACCCCTGAAGGTGTGGAAGACCTGATAAAGTGCCTGATAAAGGAACAAACAAGTGATACTACTGATAACTTAGCTAAAGCTGCTGAGCTAACACAGCTGGCCTGGAGACATCTGGCTGACAGTCAATCATATATAAAATATAAAAGCCCAGTCTCACTTTTGAGTAGTAGAGTCTTTAACATACCCTCCAACAGTGTGTGTGCAGTTTCCCCCCTTGAGTAGGGGCGCCCCTTAAGGTTACTCGTGCAGGCTGAGGGAACCAGATTTGCCCACAGTCGTTGATATGGGTGATTAACATCATTCTTCACTTACTAATTGTTTTTGCTAGCTTTTATATAGTTGCTTCAATAATACTTCAAAAATAGCACACTATACTAGTAGTTATAGCTACCTATACTGTGTAGTAAAAAATTCTGAGTAAGGTCTTTTTAGTCTATCACTATCATTATCAAAATCAATCTGAATAAATTTTTTAAATGTAAATATATTTGGGTTACCATTCTTAATCCTGCAGGGTAAAGTTATATATATGTCTCAATTACACCTATATAAACCATTGACTAAGTCTTCAGACTTTGTCTGAAGCTCCCATTCCCCCTGTAGCAGGGCTCCAGTGGTGCACTGAGGCCACATCCCCAGGTTTAACACCTGTACTTCTGTGGAACATGCCACACAGCTGGCTGTCAGTGGCTGGCTGGCCCACAAGGTTTGTGATGCACTTTCAGCAGCACCCCATGGTGCCCAGTGCCTCTGGCCACCGTGTTGGGTTGCCATGAAGCACAAGTGACACTCAGTATAGGGTAAAGCCTTCCTGACTTGGAGTCTTGCAGAGCACTAAGCTCCTCTCTGTCTTTGAACATCTTTCCTCATCATAAATAACATGCTTTAAAGTATGGTGCATCCACCAGCTCCCACTGAAGTACTGATTGTTTAGCACCCCTTTTTAAGGCACACAAAGAAAGCTTCATCCTGGCTTTGGAAAGGGGGAGATGTCAGATTTGTTGTTACAGAAGTCAGTAGTCAACGTCCCTTTACCTGAAATTAGATTTAGTAGGGATTTCTAGCTCTTTTTTCCAAAGCTCTACACTGGGAGCCAGGCACCTTGCATTCCATTGTGATCCTTCCCAGTTAACCTGAACTGGTAGGTGGGTGCCAGCAGTGTCTCAGCATCACTGGACACCAGGAAGCTCTCCCACAACTCCAGATTCACTGTTTCACCCATCTACCACGGTGGGTGCTGGATGAACCTCCTCAGCAAATGTTAAGGATCCCATCCTCTTGCTGGTTTGCTCATCTCATGTGCTGCTCACAGTTGTGATCACTGGGCTTTGCTCTTCCATTAAGCCATAAGTATAAATGCACAACTCCACATCACCAGTTAAATGACACATGAAATTTAATAACAGATAAAAAATGAGAGGTTTATTGGACTGTCAGATAAGCACAGCAAACTACTAGATGTCTCCTATCAAAAAAAAACACCATTAGATTTCAGCAGAGAAGTTATTTTCCAAGGAAATTTACTCCTTTTTCACCTGTATGATGACCCTCAGCACCTACTGTTTAAAAGAACAAGGTAACATCAGTGAAAGGCTGGAGATAAAAGGGGGATCACCTTCAAACATCAAGCTTCTAAATTTTAGAGAACAGGAAAAATACGTAACCCAGTACAGCTTGATATGATCATATCAGAAAGCAGCAATATTACAATATTATAAAAAAATCATAAGTTCTGATATTTACTATGATTTTGAAGGCAATGAATAGTGAGTTCTATGAAATCATGACTCGATAGTTTTCTTTGGGCAAGTGAGAATGTTTAGTACAGCAAAGGAAGAAGAATATTAAACAAAGATTAATGGATCCAAATTTTACCTAGGAAACTCTCCCTGTGATGAAGAGAAAGATTTCTAGGAAGGGAAACAGGCTAAAGGTGTAGGGATATTGTACCCATGACATCTACTATACCCATGTACAGGAAGGGTTTTCAACAAGAATTTTCTTCTTCTTTTTGCTATTTAATTAAATCCAAGGAAGCAGATACTTACAATCTTAACCCCACAACATTCACGTCAGAACAAAGAATAAAAGCATTCCTTGGCAGTCATGATGACACTGAACCAACTACTATCATCATTACTTTCAAATACAGCTTTCAATGGGAAAAGTGCAAAATTTATGCAACCCAAAAATAAGGTCAATCACTATGAAAATTTCTCTCTCCCACTCTTTGTTGATGATGGGCAACTACAGATGACATTTGACTAGTTTGACAACTAGAATAAGCAATAGCAAATCTCTACATGTATCACAATTACATTTTACAACAAACTAGGAATGGTGTAAAAAAGTAGGAAAAAATTATTAACGGAATTTAATGCAAAACAGTCAAATCAGTTATTCACATACTTATACTACTGAGTATGTGTAACATCACTCTGCTCTTTATTTGCATCAATGGCTATGGGCAGGTTAATGTTAATAGCTGCCCTCAGGTTAGCCCAGAAAAGTGCGTGCTTGCTCCTCTCCTTCGGCCACTCCAGGTAGGTGCGTTTTGCCATGAGAGCCTTCAGCTTGTGGTACCTGGCAGGGATAACGTACGGAGGGATGGGCTCCAGTAAAATGAGGATTAAGCTGTTGGAATTCTCACTGAATAACTTGTGATGGGCAAAGTACAGCTCATAGTGACACCACTCGCTCTGCACAAAGTTGGGAGACAACACAAAGATCGACTTGTAGCTCTTCTCAATGCAGTTAATGATGTTCTCCACAATGCTCTTGCCGGGGATAAAGTTCCTCTCGTGCTGGCACAGTTGCACGTGGCTCTCCCCCCTCTCCAGGTTGGGGATCAGCTCGTTCTTCACCCACAAGGCATCGCGCTCGCTGTAGGAAATGAAGGCGTGAAACTGCAGAACGGTCTCCTGCTCTCGGGGGTGCTCGTGCCAAGCTCTCCGCTTCGTCTGCGTCCACTGCCACGTCATCCGCACGTACCAGGGCACATCCAGGTAGATGCACAGGAAGGCCACCACAGCCACCAGCACCAGCGTCAGCAGCAGGGCTGTCACCAGCAGCAGCGTCGTGTTGCAGGCCAGTTCGCTCAGGTGGAAGTCCTTCAGCTCCGTGCCGCGCAAGCCTTCCGGGTACTCGCACACGTACGCCGACGGCCAGCCAAACAGCTTCCCCCCTGACCGCCTCTCCAGACGGATGAAGTCTTGCAGCTCACAGGAACACTTGAATGGGTTGTGCCCAGCTTGTAGCTCCCTCACCCTTGGGCAGCTCTGGAAGAAGTCAGCAGACGGCGTGAGGATGGAATTCATCTCTGTGTTCAGGAACTGCAGGGATGTAAAGCCACTGCACCCCGGCAGGTCAGTCAGCCTGTTCGATGCCAGGTTCAGCTCTTCCAAGGATTTCAGATCAGCCATCCCCTTTGGGACGCTGCTGATCTGATTGTTTTGCAGGTTGAGTTTTTTGATGTTGACTGGCAAGCACTCAAAGACGGCATCTGACAACTGATTGGAGGACAGGTCCAACTCCGTCAGAGACGCGGCCCACTGGCATTGCACGTCAGCTCCATCGTGGTGCAGCAAGTTGTTGCTCATGTCCAGATATTTCAGTGATTTCATACGGCTGGTCATGGAGCTTACCTTGAGAAGGCTCTCAAATTTATTCCACCGCAAAATAAGCAATTTCAGGTCCATCAAAGTACCGCAATGCTGGAACAACTCATCCGTCAGGGTATTGTGAGAAAAATTTAAATACTGAAATGAGCTTGTTCTATTGGGGCAAAGCATGTGTGGCATATATGCATCATATATTGTCAAACTGGCAATATTCATCTCTGAAAACTCTCTGTATAGAATCTCTTGGTTGAAATAAAAAAGTTTAGTACGAATGTGCTCCAAAGTTAACGCTTTCATGGAGCCATCCGAAGGGATTAATTGTTCTAGAGAACTTAATAAGGGTAGAAAATCATATTTAGTCAGCTCCCCCAGTGGTCCCCGAAAAGTCAAATTTCTCACAGTCAAATGCTCCACAGGTGAATACCAAATAAGCAGGAAAATTTGCAGAATGATAGGCCATTGTACATCGACAGTGTCAAGAATGAGAGCTGTTGTCTTGATTTTCTTCAAAAGCACTAAAGGAGGTGAGGGGAAATACTTATAACTCAAGGTATATATTAAGTTAACTATTTTTAAATTTTCCGAAGTACTCATTCCATCGTACAAGAGGGAAAAACTGAAGTTTTGGTTTGCTGCAAAATCAATGTGGAGGCTCCTTGTATTCAAGGCTGTCAGACTCTGAGGCTCATACAGAGAAAAGTTTTCCAGGGTCAGGAAGACAGTGTGCAGCTGCAAATGTTTGATATACCTGAAGTCTGACCTTCGTATCATCATGGCACTTAATCCTAGGTACTCCAAATGAAACATGTTCTCAAATTCCTGACAGATAGGCAAGGCAGTAAACTTATTGTAAGAAAGATCTAAATGTCTAAGACATGCGAGAGTTAGACAGTAAACTTTCAAAATGTTATTATGAGATAAATCTAAGTATTCTAAATTTTCATTAAAAACAAAGACACTAAAGTCAAGCACCGTCATTAGATTATGAGAAAGATTTAATACTTGAAGGTCAGAAAGAGAAATAAATTCTGAGATACTAATTCCAGAGATCCTATTATGTGATAAATCTAATACTTGAGTATGTACTTGAATGTTTTTTGGAACATTAGTTAGCATTCTGCTTGAATAATTTGCAGTAAATTCATTTTCCACAGTTGGCTGTATATTATTCCATAGTGTGAATGTAAAGACACAAGCAAAGACATAGGTATTTGTGAGGGGTCTCATTATGCTATCCAGCTTTATCTTGTTTTTTTACAGGAACACAGAAGCATATTGTTGTTTTCTGTTCAATATGTCTCACTGATGAGTCCAGCCCTATGAAAAGAAAACATATGGAATTTGATGAAATTGTTGAATGGTTGAATTTGCTTTTTTTATTGCTAAAATAAGGTTAAATATAAAATAAAAACATATTTTTACATACTCTTGTTCTAAGTTCTTATCAATTGTTCTCAACCCCCCACCCCCATTCTCTAATCCCAGTTATTGTTTTTCTCAGTTAAATATAAATTAATTCCTTTATAATGGGAGGAATATAACCACTGATATTTTAAAAACACATAGATGTTAAGAAATACAACTTTCTCAACAATCTTGAGAAGCACAAAACTGGTACAAGTAGAAAATGCATTTAGGAATAAAGGAGAACAGAACAAGGCCCCCATCTGCTCTTTCTGTACGTCCCAAGATCACACACATTTGGGGACAGAACTCCAATAGAACAACCCTCACAGGAACTGGTGCAAAAATGACTTCTTCAGTCAGAAGAGCCAAAGGATACTCCTCTTCACACCCCAGAGACCCTGGACATGGCCATGCACCCCCTCAGGTCAGCTGATCAGCTTTGTCTGTGCTACAGCACAAAGATGTAGGGGTCCATTTTCCAATAAGCGAAGAATGTTGAGGAGAAATTACACTGTCCATTGTATTGGGCGTATGTGGTGAGGTTTTCTTAGCTGGGGACCACAGGAGTGGCTTCAGTGAGAAGCTGCCAGAAGCTTTCTCTGTGTTTGACAGAGCCAGTGCCAGCCAGATCCATGGCTGAGCCCATCAGCAATGGTAGTAGCGCTTCTAGGATAACACAGTTCAGAAGGGGAAAAAACTCTTGGGCAACAGCAAACACAGATCAGAGAGAGGAGTGAGAATATATGAGAGGAACAGCTCTGCAGACACCAAGGTCAGTGCAGAAGGAGGGGGAGGAGGTGCTTCAGGTGCTGGAGCTGAGATTCCCCTGCAGCCTGCGGTGAAGACCATGGTGAGGCAGGCCTCACTAGCCCATGGAGGTCCACACTGAAGCAGGTGGATGCCTGAAAGGGGTTGTGACCTCACGGTAACCCTCTGTTGGAGCAGGTTCCTGGCAGGACCTGTGGACCCATGGAGAGAGGAACTCACACTGGAGAAGGTTTACTGGTAGGACTTGTGACCCTATGGGAGACCCACATTGGAGCAGTCTGTTCCCTGGAGGACTGTACCCCACGGAAGGGACCCATGCTGAAGAGTTCTTGAACACCTGTAGCTTGTGGGAAGGACTCACATTAGAGAACTGTCTGCCATGGGAGGGACCTCACACTGAAAAAAGGGGAAGAGAGCGAGGGGGAAGAAGCAGCAGAAATAACATGTGACGAACTGACCACAACCCTCATTCGCTGCCCTGCTGTGCCTTTGGGAGAGGAGGTGGAGAAACTGGGAGTGAAGCTGAGCCCAGGGAAGAAGGGAGGGGTGGGAGGAAGGTGTTTTAAGATTTGGTTTTATTTCCCATTATCATACTCTGATTTAATTGTAATAAATTGAAATAATTTCTGGAGATAGAGTCTGGTTTACCTGTAACAGTAATGTGTGAGTGATCTCTCTCTGTCCTTATCTGGCCCACAAACCTTTCACTGTATTTTCTTCCTGTCCAGTTGAGGGGAGTGACACAGTGGCTTGGATGGACACCTAGTGTCCAGTCAGGGTCAACCCAGCACACTCATGAATACTGTAATGCCAGTCTGACCAAAAGCACAAAAATGGTAAAACCACACCATGATTGGACACTACTTATGAAGCAGTGATTCCCAGAAACAGTATGTTTCAGTTTTCAAATTCTGCCCCCATGTAATCTTCTGTTAAATAAACACCAAAACCTCATTTTTTCAGTTCAAGGTTATAATGTGTGTTAGTCCCCAATAATTTTATTAACTGATATCAAAACTCAATCCTTCCCCTTCAAGTCTCCTACCAGGTTTAATCAAGTTTTCTTTTAATTAAGTAAAGCAAAAATATATACGTAATTAACATCATCAAAAGCAATAAAAGAGTAAATCAGCAAAATATAAATTTCTACCTCAATTGAATCCAATAGAGTAGTCAAGTTGTGCTTTCAGAAAGTTGTGCTAGGGTATCTGAGGGCACAATAGAAATAAAGCTGGAATGTTTGATCAAAGTATAGTATCACTCACAAGAGCAAATAAGACAAGGAAATCTGACCCAGCATCCTTCAAAGAGCAGTTGACCCCGTTCTTCAGGGTCCAGGCTGGTAAACAATCTAAGTCTTGAATCAAATAAACTTTGATCTGGAACTATCCAGAAGAATTTCCCCCTGGACAAAAGGGGTGTCAGGAATAAAGCAAGAAATGTTTTGAAGGGAGAAAAAACCACAAATATATTCTCTGTCCATGTTTCATTGCCAGATGAATGAGTTTGAATTTACTGCATATTCTACGCTAGATGTTGCAACAAGGGACGAGCCACATTGCATAGCACTGAAGAGTGCCACAGTCAGAGAGTAAAGCAAATACATCTAGCAAAGCAATATAAAGGATCAACAGTTACCCCTCCAATGCTATCTTAGAATATTACATTAGAGTTGGCTGAGAATTAAAGTTGCCACACCAAATGATTTTTCCCCCTTTCCTCTTCACTGAAATTCAACATACAGATGAGCATTTTCACTAAAATTTCCACATGCAAGATTATCTTCCAACACTGAAGCAACACTAGCACCTGAGATTTGAGGAAGTCCAAGACAAATATAACAAAGAGAAAAAATTATGAATAATGAAGCAAATATAACTCACCTTTATTGCATGGAATTCATCTTCAAGTTGAAGAACCAGCAAAAGTCCTCTGCATAGTCAGTTAACATCCTCAAAATAGAATTTCAAACACATGTAATCTTCAAGATGGGGAATCTCACGTGAGATGCTAATTTCTTAATAATTACTACCTCAGGAAGCAGAAAGAACAGGATTTTTAAAGCAGGCTATACAATTCTAAGAATGAATGAAATTTCCATACAATCCAGGCATTAAGAGCACAATGAAAGGAAATTTCTAACAATTCAGACATTTACTTCTGTAATATTTACATAACTGTACAGTTTAGGAGGAAACAAACCTATCTGCAGCACAGAATATTCCCCATGGCAAGATTATTTAAATAATTCTGCATTTCTAATTTCAAGTCTGCTTCTGTTGTTACACAGGTGTTCTAAAAATCCATCAACTGCATCTCCTCTTTGCACACACAGAAAAGAGGAAGCAGAACCCTCACTATGAACTTCTCTTTGTATCAAGATCTCTTGCAGAGCTCTACCCTGACAAATTTTTTTTCTCCACAAGCAGAGTAATTAATGTAACACATTGTAACACAATGGCAAAAGCTTATATCTCAAAAGCAAGTAACAGGGGCAAACTGACACAGTTAAAACCTTTACAGGTCAGTTATCTTTACACTAGAAATGCTTTGGACAGGTATCAAGGATATCTCACATTGTAGCTTAATCCAAAAAAAATTTTTTAAAAATTAACAAGAATATTCCTTATTATAAAAAGCTGTAATAAAGCCATTAAGAATACGGCAATATAGGGCAATCTGTGGATGAAGGAATTCAGCAAAGTAGCCATTCACTTAAAGTTTTGAACAGGGGCACAAGCCCAGGGAACGAATCAACAGAGCAGAGAGTGGGTGTTTAGCAAAGACAGATGTAAATACCTGTCCAGGTTTTGGCTGGTGTAGAGTGAATTTTCTTCCTAATAGCTGGTACAAGACTATTCTGCATTCAGTGTGAGAACAATGTTCGTAATACACTGACGTATTAGTTGCTGATGGGTAGTTCTTATTTTTAAGTCAAGGACTTTCCAGTTTCCTATGCTGTGCCAGCAAAGAGGTGCACAAGAAACCAAGAGGGAGCATGGCCAGGACAACCAATGTGAACTGACCAAAGGGATATTCCATAACACAGAATATCAGACTAAGTATGTAAGTTGGGAGGGGATGGGCCAGGAGGGCTGATCATTGCTCAGAGATGGGCTAGGCATTGGTCAGTGGGTGATGAGCAATTGTATTGTACATCCCTTGTTTTTCCTGTATTTCATTCCTCTCTCTCATTGTCGTCATCATCATCATCATTATTACTGTATTTTACTTTGTTTTAATTCTTAAACTGCTCTTATCTCAATCCACAAGTTGTACTTTCTTTCTGATTCTCCTCCCCACTGGGAGTGGGGGACAGCAGGGGAGTGAGCGTGGTACTTAGTTGTGGGCTGGAGTTAAACCACGACAATAACCAAACCCAACATTTCACTCCTATAAGCCTCCGAACTAAGACAACAGCTGAAGATTCAGCTAAAGAAGCTGAGAAGCATGAAACTTTTTCTACATAGCAGTGCTAGCTACATTTCAAGCTTGCTTTAGATTCCTTTGAAAGTTTTCTTTTGCAGTTACCTTTTAAATTTTGTAAATAATTTAATTCTTTGGTTTGCTGAAAGAAAATTGCCATTTTTCACTTTGAGACTGATGACTAAAACTGAACTGAACTAAAATGATTCTGATTTCCCCTGTGCAGAGAATTGAGTAATATGTTAGAGAAAAGTCTGGGTCATCTGTGACCTGAGACAAGACCAGGGATCATTAATGTTTCTCAAAAAGAAGGAAGAGTCTGCTTGTCAGCTGATACTGCCTTGACTCAAAGTTAAAAGAGAAGCTCCCTTTTCTAAGCATTCATCCATGAAAATGAGTAGACTAAGCACTTGTTGACAGAACAATGATATCACAATTATGCAAAACAGTGGCAGTTTTGCTTCCAATATAATCCATTAAAAAAACTTTGCTGCATGGAAAAAATCAAATATACCATCAGCTTTCATCAGAATTGACTCTAGTTCACATATAGCTATAAAAAGCCCCTTTTAGTTGTAGTACATTGAGACTTTAAAATACATTCAAACAAACATTTTGCCATGAAGAAAAATTTGCAATGAGTTAAAATAAAACTGATACTCCTAAATACCTCTGTTAAACCATTAGGAACATTGCATATTGGTTATTTTTACTAACCAGTTCAACAGAGTTCTGTTTTCAGTTTACTGATTCAGTCATTTTGCATGACGGGCAAAAAATAAAAGCCATGTATTTCTGTTCATGCATCCTGAAAAGTATGAGCTAAATACCATTCTTTCCCTAGTCAACACATGTACATTCATGCAGATACTTTGTTCCATTTCTGAATTTTATACTGCTGGGGTTTTTCACAGATTGTTTTACTAATGAGCACCTATCTTCACGAAAACAGATTTCACACTTCTGCCTGTATGTTGTCATTACTTACCCAAACAGGAACCACAGCTACACTTGGCCAGAAACTATTCAGGACCAGCACCATGCCAAAGGTGAGAAGAATCTCTCTAACCAGAACTGCAGAAGAGAGCTTACACATGCAAGATATGGAACTAAAACATAGTCAGAGCAGATGGACTCATTGAAGCACTCATGAAAAGTTAATTGCAAAGCTGGTGTTTGGTCATACCGAGGACCTTATCTTCAACTGCAACTCTCATTGTGACAAATTAACCCTGTATGTCAGGTAGATAAAACAAAGGCTAAATACCACTACAAGTCAAAGTGAGCAGAGACTGTATCACATTTATACTCAAGCCTATCTTGCTTTGGTATAAATAGACACAAGGTTCAAAGCTGTGGAAATGAAACTGGTAACACAGAGGCACCTTGCAAAACACAAGACTTTCTCACTTTATTGGTTTATAAATACTGTCTCCTCTTGATGAAACAATGACTACAAATGAGCAATATAGTCAATCTCAGTAAATATTTCCAAAAGAAAAACCAGTCAAACCAAAGGCCTGAGTAAAAACATGGGTTTCACAGAGGTTTTGAACCTTCCCCTCAGCAGAATGCCTCATCTCCCACAGAGTCCATTATTTTCCCTTGAGTGCCTCTCCTTGCTCTAACTCTCTGCAGCTGAACTTCAGTGATGATGCTTTGTAACATTTCTAAAGCTAAAAAGAGCCCAGCTCTCAGCAGGGCAACCCACATTGTGCCAGGACTCCCAGTCTGTTTCAGTTTACTTTCTTTTGTACTACACACTACCTAGATATACATAAAAACATTTACACCTTGTTTCACGCATCTTTTACGTTTGGGAGGGTATTTAACCCTCATGCTATCAGTTTTGTATGTTGATATTTTTATGTACCTAGAAATAACATTCCTGCTAGTCACTGAGATGACTAGTCAAATGCCAGGAATATGCTCTGATACGGTATCCGATATCAGAACATATTTATTTGCACACTCCCTTTTTCTGATAAGTGGAGTGCATTAGCAGTTACAGATTTCAGTGTAGAACCAATTGCAGGAACACATCACCAGGCTGCAAAGAAAAGGTTAGTTACTTTCCAAAACAGATAAAGTTCTTGATGTGCTGTGAGACAACATGTGGTCCTAGTACAGGAAAAATTTCTTCATGGACTAAAACTGGTTTTATAGAAAGGGTTGAGAGCATGACAGAGGCTAAAATAATTGTTTGAAATATTCTGATATATATCATTTGAGAAACTCATCATCTCCTGTGGAATCAGAGAAAATAGATGTAATAATTCATTGCATGTGTAGCTGTTTTATCAATTATTTGGCACACATCATGGAAAAAAAAGCGCTAATAGTATGCGGGCTTCTGATTCCAAAGTACAGGTTTTAATTGATGCCTATGCTTATTAAAAGCTACTCTTTCCACTCAAGAATTTTGGACATATCCCAGAAACCTGTAATTGTATATTTCTGCTTATCATCACATCAGCTACATCCAGAGCTCAGTTTCCCAAGTTCTTTCCAAAGAGGCAAGCAAACCTTACTAAGACCTTCAACTTCTTGATTTCTAGAGGAAGGACTCCCGGTGGACTTTCTGACTTTCAGGGGGTTTCTTTGTCCTCCATCCAACAGAAGAAGCCAGGTGAGTTCTTAAGGTTACAAACAACAGGGGATACTAACTGTATTATACAAGTTTCAAGGTCGACTGACTTAAAACTCAGAGGCTCTCTATGAAAATTTTCAAGTGAGGCACATAATGATCCAGCTTTCCCTGCTTCTTTGAAAAGGATAGGCAAACCAAGCTAAAAGTCAGATCATCTTCAGTTTTCAAAGGATTTAATGAGTCATACACTGAAGCATGAGTGGGAGGGGAAGGAGGAAGTAGAGAAAACATTTGTTTCTACAGTCCTAAATGAAATGGCTTCAATTTGGTAATAGGTGTTATATTAACTTTGAGGCTAAGTGGGATGTGAGAGCTAAAGGTGTGAAATTTGACCTTTCCTCTACAGGTCATAAACAGTCACTCACAGTTTAAGACTTCAAGTCAAGAAATCACAGCCTGATTAGACCTCATGCAAAAAGAAGTCTCAAAATTAAAATCTTTTGTTAATAATAATGGAAGACAAGGATGAGACAAAATGCAAGCATTCTATCCTAAATGTCATAGGGATTTCTTAATACCCCTTCTTCTCTCATATTCTTGTTGAAGCACATTTTTCAAGGGAAACTTCCTACTTGCTGGTCATCTAACTGTGGTATTTCAAACGATCTTCCCTTCTTGGGGCAAAGAGGAAGTTTGCTGTCATCATCTTTAGCAGCTGTGAATGTTTTCCTGAGCCCAGCTATGCTTTCTTGAAGCCAAAACAGCAGAAGTAGGGGCAGAGGGACCTGCTGTATTTCTACAAAAAGGAAAGCAAATATTGTAAATGTAGTTTGTGTTTCTAACTCCATTGATAAAGTCTTACCTGAGGTCCCAAGACCTGGCAAATTTTTTCAGCCTCTGACTGGTTATTGCCTTTCTGATCACAACTGACAGCTGTGCTACAAAAGCTGTTTCAGCTGAAAAGGAGAGATTCTTTTAATAAGCATAAAGTAAGATACACGACTGAAAAAAAAAAAGTAGAAAGCTGGGGAAAAAAGGCATGATGTAGAGAAGTCAGGAGTTTCTCAAAACATGAATAACAATGAAGAAGGCAGTTTTGTTCATACAGATACCCTCCTAGTCCCTTGGTTTAGGGTATTTCTCAGGGTCAAAACAGTACCTAATGGACTCTATCAGAGGATGAGGGTTAGAGCTCTGATTATCAATTCACTGCTTTTTCCTTGCTGTGCTGAGCTATGAGCTCCAAAAGGTGAAGTAGCTCATATTTCCCTTTTTTCCAGGATACAAATTTTTTTCTTCAGACTAATTCTAGTAAAAGATGTCCTTTAACCAAGTTGTCTGAGCTTTGTGATTAAAGCAGCTCTGCAAACTCTCCATCAGCTCAAGCATTTTTCCACATGACTATACTGAGGGCTCCAGACTTTATTCTGCTGAGGAAAAACTCACTTGAGTAGTGCAAGCTATATTTCAAAATCCACATTCAAACTCATTTGTGATTTTCTATCTCAAGAGATCTGAAATAAGGTGAGCTGAATTTTGACTCCAGTTAGGAGGCAACAAAGACAACCAGGTAGAAACAAGGCTGTGTAGCAAAAAGTTAAATACATTGACAAAAAAGGAAAAAAATATTTATTGCTTCTCAAAGATAAAACAGAAGAAAATCCGTTAGAAAGATTCTTAATCTGTTTCCCCACACCTGTTTTCATCACTGCATGGCAAGTTAATGTTAATAGCTGCCCTCAGGTTAGCCCAGAAAAGTGCGTGCTTGCTCCTCTCCTTCGGCCACTCCAGGTAGGTGCGTTTTGCCATGAGAGCCTTCAGCTTGTGGTACCTGGCAGGGATAACGTATGGAGGGATGGGCTCCAGTAAAATGAGGATTAAGCTGTTGGAATTCTCACTGAATAACTTGTGATGGGCAAAGTACAGCTCATAGTGACACCACTCGCTCTGCACAAAGTTGGGAGACAACACAAAGATCGACTTGTAGCTCTTCTCAATGCAGTTAATGATGTTCTCCACAATGCTCTTGCCGGGGATAAAGTTCCTCTCGTGCTGGCACAGTTGCACGTGGCTCTCCCCCCTCTCCAGGTTGGGGATCAGCTCGTTCTTCACCCACAAGGCATCGCGCTCGCTGTAGGAAATGAAGGCGTGAAACTGCAGAACGGTCTCCTGCTCTCGGGGGTGCTCGTGCCAAGCTCTCCGCTTCGTCTGCGTCCACTGCCACGTCATCCGCACGTACCAGGGCACATCCAGGTAGATGCACAGGAAGGCCACCACAGCCACCAGCACCAGCGTCAGCAGCAGGGCTGTCACCAGCAGCAGCGTCGTGTTGCAGGCCAGTTCGCTCAGGTGGAAGTCCTTCAGCTCCGTGCCGCGCAAGCCTTCCGGGTACTCGCACACGTACGCCGACGGCCAGCCAAACAGCTTCCCCCCTGACCGCCTCTCCAGACGGATGAAGTCTTGCAGCTCACAGGAACACTTGAATGGGTTGTGCCCAGCTTGTAGCTCCCTCACCCTTGGGCAGCTCTGGAAGAAGTCAGCAGATGGCGTGAGGATGGAATTCATCTCTGTGTTCAGGAACTGCAGGGATGTAAAGCCACTGCACCCCGGCAGGTCGGTCAGCCTGTTCGATGCCAGGTTCAGCTCTTCCAAGGATTTCAGATCAGCCATCGCCTTTGGGACGCTGCTGATCTGATTGTTTTGCAGGTTGAGTTTTTTGATGTTGACTGGCAAGCACTCAAAGATGGCATCTGACAACTGATTGGAGGACAGGTCCAACTCCGTCAGAGACGCGGCCCACTGGCATTGCACGTCAGCTCCATCGTGGTGCAGCAAGTTGTTGCTCATGTCCAGATATTTCAGTGATTTCATACGGCTGGTCATGAAGCTTACCTTGAGAAGGCTCTCAAATTTATTCCTTTGCAAGATTAATGTCTCCAGTTCAATTAGGGTGTCACATGTTTGAAAAAGAAAATCTGTTAAATCATTCTTTAAAAAATTTAGGTGTCTAAAGGGACTAACAGATGAAGGACAAAGCATATGTATCATCTCTGATTCAGCTATTGTCATGTCTGCAATATTCATGTCTGCAAATATTCTGTATAAGTCATCCTGAATGAAGTACAGATCTGTGATATGAATTTTCTTCACTGTCAGTGCCTTCATAGAGGTACCTGAATAGTCAAAGTCATAGCTTTCGATGTCTCCCAGTTGAGTGGCCCTGTTAATATTGAAGTATTCAATGGATGAGTGCCATACAATCTGAAAAATTTCCATAAGATCATTCCAGTTCACTGACACATTTGTCAGTGTCAGATTTTGTAACCCGGAGCCTTGTCTGAAATTAGATAATAAAGCAATCAATTTTTTTACACTGCCATCTCTGATTTCTGACAATGACAGGCTTTCTGTAGTATTTTGTATCACAACCCAGTCAGAACTAGATTTGGACTGAGGTCTATTTGTATATAGGAGTGGCAGGCTCTTGATATTATGGTCAGAACCATCTTCAGGAAAATTGTTAGAAGGTGTAAGAAGTTTGTTTTCCACAGACAGGCTGACATGGTTCCAAAAAGTTAATGCAAACAGACACTTGTAAACAAAAAAGTTTCTGAGAGAGCTTGTATTTTCTGACATACTGCTTTCTGTTTCTTTGGAGATGTTCAAAACTTTTCTGATCTGTCCATCTTTATTCTAATCCTGTTGGGAAACAAACAAACAAAAGCAGAAAACAGATTGTATCATTAAGTGGCTATGCAAGAACCATCAGAGTGATAGATTTCTTTAAGGTTCCAATTTCTCATTTTTCCCTTTGACTCAAAGAACAATGAAGGTGCCTATTATCATTCAGGAGAGACATTCCTTATTAACAGACCACCACTGAAATTTTCATTTGGTAAATATGCTGTATTTAATATATAATGAGTCCGTTTCTTAGAAAATGTCTGATTTCATAGCTGACTAAAATTTGCTGCTTGCTTACAGAATTACTGCTGTGATTCAATGTATTATGAAGGCTTCCCACAAGTGTGTAGTACACTTTGATTAGAAAGTACATTAATTGAGATTTCTCCTGAAGGATGTGAACTAGACTCAGAGACATTATTTTAAAATGGACTTGTGAATATAAAAATTGGATGGAAACTTGATGGAGGTTCAAGAGGCTCAAACAAAATCTGAATGTCTTTAGGTAGCTGAGATTGGATCCTCAGTGCTTATTTTAACTTGGAAAACCAGAGCGACGGTAGAATGTTCTCTACTTATGCCATGAGAAAGTGCAGAGAAAAGTTTGCTTCTTGTCTGAGCTTGAGCATTTCCTGAATTTAGACTCTGAAAATGGGGTATCCACTTGTTTAGTTTGTCGGTTTGACAGAGGACACAAAACACACACTGGGAATATCTGCATGCTAAACAAAAATACACCAGTTGTAGAACCTCCGTACACAGAATCTAGCACTGACCTAAAGTCACTGACCTCAAATGTCTCTGTTGTGACAGAAGGGCTAATTTAAACACAATTTAGTGGAAAAAAACCCCCATAACCATGGCTTTGCTTGGATCTTCCTAATGGAGGTCACTTTTTTCTTTCTGAATGTAGGAGCTAAGAGTAGCCAACCTCCCTTTAAGTCAGCCACTGTGAATGCTGCCTTAAATCTCCTTTTAGATATTGCCATAACTCCATTAGACCGCCCTTCTGAAAGAGGAACTGATAAGAACTTAGTTAGCACTTTCATGCATGTAAATCTCGATTGGAAGTTGTTTGCCAGATTTCTGAAATCATTTTATTTCCCTTTTTCCCCCTTTCCCTCCCACTACTTTTAAATCATAATTATTGCCTGAAGCTTTCCACAGTACACATTAATAACTGCACCGGCTTTCAACTTTCTCTTGATTTTGAAATGACTAAATTGTGAGTATATATTCTGAGTGCCTCTACAATGAGACAGAAATAGCTATCACTTGTTGGACTAAATTTACAACCTCAAAGACTACATCTTCTGTGCCATTAACCATTCCACAAATTTTCTCAGAGTTACATTACTGAGTGTAAAATATACATCCTCCTTGATCTAAACCAACCTATATTATGAAATCTCGACAGTAAAACAACAACAAAAAATCCCAGTCCACTGAGTTCCTTTGTAAAGAATGCATGAAACTAGGCTTGGAAATAATCTAAAAATAGTGAGATAATATGGCAAAACTTTTCCAGCCTTTTCCAGATTTTCATTTAGAAAAATTGTATTCGTCACAGCCCTCTAAAGGCATCTGGCCATCCTCTGTCCTTTTCTTCTGATTGTTTGGGCAACTCTACTAATATGTTTATAATCAAATAAAATATGTAGCTTCAAGAGAAATTAAAAAACCCCAATAATTTACATTTAAATCATTATTCCTTCTTGGGATAAAATTTCAGCAATATCCAAGGACTAGGTGAGAGAAGGATATGATTCTTCCATATTTTTATTTTCTTTCTCATTCCTATATCCTGGCATTCAGCCAAATTATTTACAAGTACCTTCAAACTTCCTTTAGAATATCCTATGAAGCAACAGAATTAAAAACTGTTATAACACATAACCTGTGATATGGGGGCTAACACTGGAGAAATTACCCTTTATAGTCATATTCCTTTTAATTCACAAGTATAGTTGACAAAAAGTGCTTGCTATCAAGAAAAGCAATCCAGGAGGGTAAGCAAACCAAGATCATAGCAAGAAATTGTCCTGTTGTTTAAAGAGTGAGAGAAGAGATAAAAAGGTTTTAAGAGTTTTTCCAATATAAAATTGGTATAAACTGACTGAACTTTCATATAAGAAATGTACAGAACATATTGAGCTATGAAGGTTCAGTATTAAGATACACACTTCACAAGTAATCAGCATAACACAAAACTCTGGTGTTAAAAATACGCCTTTCACAAGGATGAATCATATTAGCAAGTTAGACCCATTCCTGAACTGTACAAAAGATATTTTCATTAATTCACTGTGACCCCCTTAACTGTGGGTGTAGTGCTAGTACAAAGAGATTGCTATTTGGTGACTTTCTTTGAGTAAAGGTACTGAACATAAGCAACGTTACCCTCATTTCTCATCCATACACTTGAAAGTACTTCATAAACTTGCTAATAACCCCCTGTGGAAAACATGGCTCATTTTCAAATACGATGCAGAATATAAAACAGTTCTAGCTAACCACATAAAATCAATAAAATGAAAACTTTCTCACCAGCAATCCACGCTCTCTGAAAAAGCAGAAATTGTACTCAGGAAAAGGCAAAAAGAAAACTTCCTGTAACTCTATCCTACTGAGTAACAATTCTTAGGAACGCCCAAACTCTTTATACAAATGTTTGTGCCATCTACTGACAACTTGTAAAAATGGCATTTGCTTTCCTGCAGATATATTTTCCACATACTACACTACTGTAATATTCCTATTATTCAATTATTATTGAACTATGTGTTTTCATGCTTTGCAATAGATTAAACAGGTGGGGAAATTAATCTTTTTACGAACTTGCTGTCTTCATTAATTAATATGAAAATAAGTACTTCAAGCAAGTTTTACACTGAAATTCAAACATCTCCTCTGAACTTAATAATGATCTAAGTCTACATGCATTATTGTGATTTTTTTTTCCATTTTGATACACAGATTCAGTTGTCAAGTTATTATCAAGTCTGTTTTATAGAAGTACCATTTGTCTTAATTTAATTTACATTTAATGGGAATGGAAAAATAATCTCTCTTCTGCTCCAGCAGTGTTGTGATTGGGTTAAACAGAGGACACAGAAACACTGGGTGGGGTTTGGTTTTTGTTGGGTTTTATAAAATTAAAACAGAGCAATGACTTCAATACTGAATGCCTAAACACAGGGCTATTGTCCCAGCAAAGACATAAACCAGTCTCTCTTTATTTCTGTGCAATGCTGGTCAGAAATTCCACCATAGCTGAGATCTAAATATAGAACTGCCACAATACAACCTACCTTTCTGGGTTAACATACCACAACTCTTTCATGATTTAACATTTCAGTGATTCAGGAAGCAGAGGAAAATATCTAAAAAATTACTTTTTTCACTTTATAGTTTATTCTGTAGATTATGCTGCATTTCTCAGCCTCAAGTGAAAAGAGGTCATCCAAAAGAGGAAAGGAAATATGGAAGAGTTAGTAAATGACAGAATATGAAAAATTCTCTGCTATCATGATGATGAGCCTTATAGTGGTACTCGATTTTATGATTTGTTCTCCATTTCTGTCAATTCAGACAAGGCTATTCACAGCTGGTTTCCAAATTACACTTTATAACAGTGTTACATACAAACCTCACTCTTGCCTGCTCTTAGCTGGAAAGATTTCGCTATCCATTCTTAGGGTGAGATAAAATCCTAAGGTAAGACCTTGCTTCTACCAAACATTAATTCCTGTTTTGGAACGTAACAGCTGAACTGCCTGAATGCAGCCTACATGTTACTCTAATGAATACAGAACCAGACACACAATTGGTTAATGTGTAAGAACTGCCATAGAGACCCTTATTCAAGAGTATCTCTTCAGTTCAGTGACAGTATGAGCTGGCCACTGGCAGTGCCTGTATGACTACATGCTACAAAGACAGATGAATGTTAAACAGAAAAATAAGCATATTGACATTAACTGGATGCCATTAGCCCTTCAAATTTATCCCTAAGAACTCCCAGTGCAATTACTGAAAGTAGATTAATATAGTCCTTGAATGTTATGCATACATCCATGTTTTGTTATAAGTAGTCAAATGTCTGTCCACCTTTTATTTATATTTATCTATTTATTAAAAGGCAAGTATCTTTTCTGAAACCCATGAGAAAGATGATGACACCCAGAATAATAACAAACTTCAGTGAAATCTGAGATGAGTGGAAATGTTCAATCTCTAATGCTTATTTATTGCAAAACCAATTGCAATATTACCATAGTGAGACAATATAAGTGAAATTAATTACTGAAAATTGAAACAGAAAAAAATTAGAAAATGCAAGTGTTAATTTAAGAAAGTAATTTAGGAACTTCAGAAATCTATGCATTCTTCTGTCCAAACAGACAGATGTACACATTTACACACATATAATGTTAATTTCATCCTGAAGTAATGATACTCTCAGGCTCATGGTGCGACTCTTGGGGATAGTCCTGTGCAGGGCTAAGGGCTGGACTTGATGATCCTTGTGGGTCCCTTCCAACTCAGCACATTCTGTGATTCTGTGATAATTGTATTACAACAGTGGCTAACAACGTCTTGCAGCTCTATAGCATGCGTGGTCTTGTACAGAATCTGCAAACCTGACAGTGCAAGATCCATCAGAATTACCATCTCTCATGGGTAAAACAATCTCCAACTATCATGATTCCCCTATGACACTACCCTTCCACAAGCTCCACTGAAAAGCAGAGGGAAATCCATAGGGCCACTCTAGATTTCATTTTCAATAAATACATCTAACATTAATAAATTAAGGTTCTCTGACATTTAAATTCTCACTGGAAAACCCTTAAAAGAAATTTATTATTTAGGGGTACAAATATTTGTTCTGCTACCATCTACTGTAATGAGAAACTTCAGAGACTTTTTCCTGATAAGCATGTAAGTCACACATCATGATAGGTATTTGTAATGCATGCTTCTGAGATCCATGGCTTTATTTTGTGGCCTCCAACAGTAGCTCTCCTCAGTTATTCTCAACATGTTATTTTGCCTCCTGTGGCAACAGTAATTTCTTTCTTCAGCAGGTTATTGACAAAAATGATGCCATGACAAATTGTGGAACTGCTTTTATCACTGTAAAAGGCATGCTTTGCCTTAAAATGAAGTGGTAAAAAGAGGAAGGGGTATCAGGAACTAGAGACAAAAACCACAGGTTGTTGGGCAAGAGTCTGCAAACCCTTTGCTCAACCACCTTCTTGGGTGTCTGCAGGTACCCAGTGCCGACACCAATCGACTGGAAATATGTGCATGAACCACCCAGCTTCTGTGAGGAGCATTTCCCGTAAACAGAGGGATAACGAGGGTGCAAAGCAGCATCTGAAAAGCTCAATCTCAGTTGTTTAATTCTGCAATCCCACACTTCAGTAGGTACTCACTTTGAGGAAGAATTAAACTTTCTAAAAAGAAAATAATAAATTTTGATGCCAGCTCAGTGACTAGACTCATTGAAGCTTAAAATGCCCCAGTATGAACATTATCAGTTTGGCCACAACAAATTGTCTAGCATACAGCTGGATAACTCTTGCATGATGGGTAAGCAGCTGGCTAAGGGATCGAGCACAAAGAGTTATAGTGAATATGGAGTAACATCAGGCTGGTGACCTGTCATTCATGGGGTTCAGCAGGGCTCCATCTTAGGCCCTGTGCTTTTCAGCATCTTCGTTAATGACCTGGATGCAGGACTCAGTACTATATGCTGATGACACTAAGTTACTTAGGAGGAATTGTTAACTCCCTTGAGGGCAGACAGGCCCTGCAGAGAGAATTCAACAAATAGAGAGATGGGCAATCACTAGCCATATGAAGGTTAACGAGAGCAAGTCCCCACTGGATTCTGCAGTGGGGACAGGGCAATCCTAGTTGTGTGTATAGAGTAGGGAGCAAGAGGCTGGAGAGCTGAAGAAAGGGACCTGGGGGTCCTAGTCAATGGCAAGTTGAATATGAGTCAGCAGTGCCCTGACAGCCAGGAGGGCCAACCATGTCCTGGAGGCATCAGGCAAAGCATCGCCAGCTGGTCAAGGGAGGTGATTGTCCTGCTTTGCTTTGCACTGGTGTGGCCTCACCTTGAATATTGTGTGCAGGTTTGGGCACTGCAACAAAAGGATATAAAGCTATGAGAGTGTCCAAACGAAGGCAATGAGGATGGTGAAGGGACTGGATGGGAAGCCGTATGAGGAGCAGCTGAGGTCATTTGGTTTGTTCAGCCTGGAGAAGAGGAGATGAAGGAAGACCTCACTGTGGTTGTCAACATCCTCAGGAGGCGAAGCGGAGGGGTAGATACTGACCAGTGACAGGACTCGAAGAAACTAGCATCAAGCTGAGTCAGGCAAGGTTTAGGATAGATATGAGTAAAAGGTTTTTCACCCAGAGAGTGGTTGAGCACTGGGGCAGGCTCCCCAGGAAAGTGATAACAGCATCAAGCCTGACAGAGTTCAAGAACAATGCTTGAACAACTGAGTTCAAGTCGGACAACGCTCTCAGGCACATGGTGTGATTCTTGGAGTGGTCCTGTGCAGCGTCAGGAGTTGGACTCGATGATCCTGATGGGTTCCTTCCAACTCAGCATATTCTGTGATTCTGTGATTCTATGAAATTTACCGCTTTTCCGCCTCAGCGCGGACGCGGGGGATGCCGCCCGCGCCTGAGGGAAGCGCTGCTCCACCCGCGCCCCGCGCTCCCGGCCGGCGCCCGCCTCGCCTCCCCCGCCGGGACAGCGCCGGGACAGCGCCGGGACACAGCAGGGACACCGCCGGGACACCGCCGCAGCCCCAGCCCCGCCGCAGCGCGACGGGGGCCGTGAGGGGCGATAAGGGCGGCCGGGGCCGCTCTCCCGGTGGGTCAGCGCAGCCTGGAGCTCGGGGGGGCTCGGCAGCGGCGCGGAGCGGACCAGCCCAGCCCCTCTGCTACAGGCGGGCGCCTCGGAGAGCCGGAGGCAGCGGGACGCAGAAACGCCAGCCCTCCCTCCTCCCCGCGGGCTGGCCGTCCCGGGCTGGCCCCCGCTCTGCCTCCTCCCCCCGCTGCTGCCGACGTGGCGGGGCGGGGAAGGGACAGAGAAGGGGGCGCGGCGGCCGGGGCACTGCTGAGCGGTAAGGAGCGCGGCGATTTCTACTTTTTCTGCCGCTTTTGACGCTGCCTGCGGGCTCCTCGCTACACAGCTCTACTCCGGAGAGGATTCCGAAAAGGGGGTGGAAAAAGGGAAGGGGGAGGCTGTGGCCACCGCGGTCTTGCGGGAGCGGCACCCGGCTGCTCTGCCCTTCCTGGGGCAGGGGGGCAGCGGGGCAGGGCGAGCAGGCGCCAGGGGGTTCGCCTGCGTTCGCCGTGCCCGCAGCGTCCCGCAGGACAGGAGAAGCGACAGCGGGCGTCGAGCGAGAGGGGAGCGCGGTGCCGCCGCCAGAAAAGTTATCCCTCAGGCACGGGGAAGGTGGTCTGTGCCCAAGGGCGCCCGGCGGCGGCTGGGATTTGCTTCCGAGGCGGGATGAAACTCCTCAGGCGGAGGGTCGGCAGGTGCCGCCACGGCCGGCCCCCTCAGGGAGGCCCATTCCGGATGGTCGG